TATATTATACTAAAGGTAAGAAACAAAATCTTATAAACGCACAGGGAACCAAGCTTCGAGGGAGATTTTCTACGTTACTACAACATAATCAATGGAATTTATGCCAATCTTAAAGTCTTAACAAAAATGGAAAATGATATCAGATATCGAAATACAATGTAAATGATATTAGACTAGGAAATCATGTAATTTTGATAAGTTTTTGTGTCTAATGTTCTACCATGAATTTTCATTAATAGAAGACCGTTTCATGCGGTCTTCAAAATTAACGTTATATATATCAATTCATGTCGAAACATATTTTGTCTATGTTTTAAATAATTTTGTTGACAATATGTCAGCGTAAGATAAGACAGAGGACCTACATGCAAATACTCAGATTGTCTTCTCATTTATAGATTTCTTTCTTCCCGTACCTTTAAATTTTATTATCTCTGGGACAAATAGATTCTTAAACTAAAAATTTCAAGTAAGTTTGTATATTTGACAAAACCTTCAACTTACTTCACATTTAAATCTCAGCTACCTGTAAGATATTCAATATTTCAGCACTGTCTACAAATGGCGACTTGGACTTACGACAGTGATGACGACGACTTTGCGAATGCTTCTTCGGATGATGATTCTTTGGATGATGATTCATCACACATAGAAAAGGTAGGTATTTCCATCGTAAAATGAAATACCTGGAGATAACGATCAATATTCAAGCTCAAAAGTCCAATAAACAATTCAAAATAGAAGTAGAGCCGGTCTGAGGCTGCACGGCACGTGTTCGAAGAATTCCAGCCTGCATTATTTCAATCTATCTCCACCAGCCGTCGCCATGTTGTCTTGGGGCGAACTCTCTTCCGTCTCCCTTCAGGTGTCCAACCGAGGGCCACAACAAGTCATATGTTGGATCCTTTCTCCGCACTTGGCTGACCAAGTTCCATCGCCTTCCTCTCGCATCGAAGCCGATGCCTTCTGTGCCTGACATCTCCAAACCCGTTAGGGATATTCTGCTGCTATCTGACCTTGAAGAATCCTTCTGAGGTACACTGTACGTGTTCTGAAAGATGTCAATCTTCTTTTCCTTTGTTTTGGTAAGCTTCCACGTCTCACATCCGTATAACAATACAAAGAGAACCAGGCTCTTGAAGAGGGAGACTTTTATCTTTCTACTGAGATGTATGTGATATTCCAAATGTTGGCTAGCCTCCTGAAGCTAGGATGCATAAGTCAGTGCAATCGTCTTTCTGATGTCAGCAGTACCAATAAGAAACCTGGCATACAGCATCCTTGTTGACGCCAATCATAACAGGGAAAAAAGGTATCGTTGGGTATTACATATTATTTCGTAATGACTCAAAGACTGTGTCTCTGTGCACTGATTGAAAGCTTTCTCATACTGTAGTCCACAAAATGGATATACAGGATATTACTCCACTCGTTGACTTGCTCCAGGATGTTCGTGTTCTTGAGAATAAAGATCTGCATAATTCTCAGTCCCTCTCCCACTTTGGAACCCTTCCTGCTCTTTCCTAAGAGTCCGGTCAACTGCAGCCTGTATACTGCTGATGAGGATTCTACAAAGTGCTTTGCAGGCCAGGGGCAGCAATGTCACACAGCCCCTCCAGTTGCGGGCAGCTTTTCCATCTACATAGGAGGTGTGCTTCTATTCCTGGCTGGTCTATATCAGGTCTGCCTTTAACATTTCTGATGTTATTTGATTTGCTCCAGAGGACTTCCTATTCTGAAGAGTCTTCCGTGTTGCTCTTATATCATGTGTGGTGGATTGCTAAAATTGGATATCTAGTTCTTCTCCTTCCTCATGTTCATCTTGTTGTTGTGACTCTGGAGTGTCCCTGTTGAGTACTTCCTCAAAATTCTAATCCACCATTTTGCAAGCCTCGCTTTTTAGCTCACCTGAGCCGAAGGCTAAAGTGATCTTTTCTGATCAAAATTTGTCCGTTGTCTGTCGTCGTTGTCGTTAACTTTTCACATTTCATTTTCTTCTCAAAAACCACTGGCCCAATTTCAACCAAACTTGCTACAAAGTATCCTTGGGTAAAGGGGATTCAAGTTTGTTCAAATGAAGGGCCACGCCCTTTTCCAAGGGGGAGATAATTATGAATTAGAGAAAAATTAATAGCATTTTTAGAAAATCTTCTTCTCAATAACCATGGGGCCAGGAAAGATGAAACTCATGTGGAATCATCCTCAGGTAGTGTAGATTCAAATTTGTTCAAATCATGACCGCCGAAACTAGGGTGGGGCCAAAATCAAAGTTTTCAGAATATATAGGAAAAATCTTTAGAAATCTTCTCAAGAACCACTGGGCCAGGAAAGTTGAACTCATGTGGTACCATTCTCAGGTAGTGTAGATTCAAATTTGTTCAAATCATGACCCCCGGAGCTAGGGTGGGGCCAACATGGCCGACCAAAGTTTTACATAGGAGTATATAGGAAATATATGTGAAATTATCCTCAGGTAGTGTAGATTAAAGTTTGTTCAAATCATGACCCGCGGGGCTAGATTGGGGCCAAAATGGCCGACCAAAGTTTTACATAGGAATATATAGGGAAACCTATTAAAATCTTTTCAAGTACTTCAAAGCCATGATTAGTGAAATTTATATGGAATCATCCTCAGGTAGTGTAGATTCTAGTTTGTTCAAATCATGACCCCGTGGGGGATAAAATTGAAGCCGCAACCCCCCCCCCCCCCCCCACCTCAGTAAACTTTCAGTTCTGATCTGATATGTGCTTTTTCCTAGCCAATGTGCTCAGGTGAGCGCTGTGGCCCCTGGGCCTCTTGTTTTATTTTTCAGCAGCTCACCATCTTTGCTTTTCAGCACTGGTGTTTATCTAATACTAGTGATTTTTTTCTTGAAAGCTGTTTTACCATACTGTACAGTAATGTACAGTCCCTTTTGCCTCCCGTTCTCGGCTGCTTTCTGCGCTCGCTCAGCTTTCTATCATATCCATCTACTCCTGTCCTTTCTCACACTTTACTTGACTGCTTTGTCTTTTCCTCTTTGACTTTCCTTCAATATATAGTCGCCATTTTTTCTGTTCTTGAACTTTCTATTTTTGCCTTCATGTCCTTTCTTTCATCTACGGTATCATCCCGTCTTGGTTTCAACTTAATCTAATTCTCGTGTGTGCTGAGGCATAACTTGATTTCGGTCTTCACCAAGAAGTGGTCACTGTTGGCACCAGCTCCCCTCTGGACCTTTGTATGAAGAACAGATGATCTCCATTGATCACTTATGATAAGGTGGTCATTCCGGTTTTTCGTAATTGCAGTAGCAGACACCCATGTTGTTTTGTGTAAGTCTTTATAGGAGAACAATATTCCTGTGATTATAAGTCCATTCATCTAACAACATCCCCACAGCCTTTCTCCATTTTCGTTTGGTCTTCCCAGTCGATGGATACCCATAATTCTTTTACACCCGTTATCTTCACTCCCTACCTTGACGTTGAGGTCCCCGATGATAATAATGACGTCGTGCTTGTTGTTTCTCTCGTAGCTCCTGGCAGAATTGGTTCTGCTCCTCCTCTTCAGCTTCCTCTTCATTATTTGGCGTATATGCTTAGATCACCGACACTCTCATGTATCCTTTATAGAGCATCGCTATTATGGTTCTCTTACTGATGGGTGACTTCTTTTGTGACTTCATTGCCTGCTGGCTGATCATTATGACAACTCCTCCCTTATGCAGTTCTTCATCCTCGCTATAAATGACGGTCTGACCCGAAGCCAATCTCATCTTCCCAGCTCCTGTCCATCTGCACTCACTGATTTCCAAAATGTTCACCCTTCCATTTCTCTCGTAATTTGTGTTGATGTCTCTCTTCTGTTCATTGTTTTGATATCCCATTAACCGATGATGAATGTTAAGAGTCACAAGAGATCTTGTCGGACTCTATTCTTCCCTAAGGTTTTTACCCCTCGTCGTACTACTGCCATTGTTTGCGGTCTACTCTTTACATGGACTTCTTTGCTGTCCATTGTTTCTGTAACTGCCATTTTTGCCGGGATGGGGTAGTCTGCTTCCTGCTCAACTCCCAAGCTGGAAGGAGCAGTAGATTTTTTCAGGGTGTCCTTCTCTAAAACTGCGTTGGTCCATGACACTTTCTTGCGTCTATCCAGTACACCCCTCATGTGTTATAGTGAGGGACCTCCTATCCGCCACCCTGGGAACGCGCCTCCTAGCTGTGCAGTTCCAATCGATAAATTTGATAGAGATTTTTTTTCATCATTTATCAAATAGAATTAAAAATAAATCAGTATGTATATTTTTACAGGAAATGTGTGACATGTCTGTAAATGAGATAATTTCTCAATGGCCGGAGCTGCTGACAGATGAAGATGGAGAGGAGATCATTGATGAACTTGTCAGTGGGCAGGTTCTATCCATAGAGGACTCTATACAGATCAGAGACGAAGCAAACGATGCTGCAAAAAAGAAAATCATTGAATCGTTGAAGAAGAAACTACAGACATCAGATGAATCAACGATAAAAATGATTTTGAATGTTTATAACATCAGTAAGTTAAAAGTAGTATCTGTGAGGGAGGTTCTGAATGAGGGTAAGTGAGGATGGTTGGTGGGCATATGAGAGTTGATATGTTTGGATGAACGTGTGAGAGGGTGGGTGGGTGAAAAGTGGGATTCGTTTTTTTTTCAAAATCCTGCTCTTTATTATAGCTTTTATATACACAAAAACAATTTAAGTACTAGTATACAATACTTTTATAATTGATGTCACGTCCTTTTTGCAGAGAAACAAAAACAAAAAGAATCTCATAGTTTTTAAGAGTCCCAGACGATTCTAGATAGGAGTCTTAAGTATAATCATGATTGAAATTTAACCATTTTGTAGAAATATTGGATAATAAATTTAAAACTAATATTTTGTTAATTTCTTTAAGATGTATGTAATTACATGTACTATAAAATTACATTTACTTGGAATGGCATGATATTTTTTTTCGCTACAGGGCAATTACAACACATATCTACAGAGCAGAATACAGATATTCCATTTATAGAGACTAATGGTTTTAAAAATTTCATGACTGCAGTGAAGAAATCAAACGTGGTCATACTAACAGGAATGCCGGGAGATGGGAAAACATCAGTGCTTAATCACTATGTTAACAAACTTAATCTACGTAAAGCTGAAGCAATATTTCTGCGAAGTTTTACGGAACTGCAAAGTGCAGAAGCGAGAAAGAACATTATTTATTTTTTGGATAATGTTACCTCCACTATACCTGTTTCAAGGCGCCATTCTTCTGATGTACTGAAAAATATAGATTCTGCAGCTTGCCATATCCAGAGAACAGATCGAGGAAAATTAGTCATTGTCCTTCACAAAGATGTACTGAATTTCTTAAAAATACGCCACGGAAATTCTCTCATTTGGTCAAATTTTCCTATTGTAGATCTTTCAGAATCCTTAAATCAAAGTGACATAAATCAGATTCTTCAAAACTATGGACTACAAATAGAGGTTTCTGAAGACGCGAAGACCGGTGTTTTAGCAGAGAGAGATTTTTTATGGGGGTTCCCTAAGTGTTGTCGAATGGCGTCGTCAAATGCAGATTTCCCGCTGAAAAAAGATATGTCTAACATTCTCAGTTTCCAGGTTAAAGTACTAGAAGAATATTTTGGAGAAATGGAAGGTCCTTCCTTAGCTGTTCTCGCCTCAGTTGCTTTCCATAGAAACACAGTCGATCGTGACTTTTTCTCCAATGCTTGTTCAAAAGAAATGTTTTTTCGAGATGCTTTCATCTTGTGTGGGTCTGAATATAACCACTCGATGCCTCTTACGATGTCAGAAATCGCAAGTGCGTTTCAGGGAGTCTTTTTAGTCGTAGAAGGTACAAGTAAATTGTCAATAGAGAATGGAATAGTTCTGGAGGCTATAAATCATGTACTGTTGACCAGAAATCCCTCAAAGTTTATAGCATGGTACCCAGTGGAGGTTCTAACAGAGTTCTTTAAATATGGATCGGAAAATAAATCCAAAGTATTATTTCTGAAGTCTTATATAAGAAATCTTCTAATGCGAATTACTTCAGAACTTGAAAATCCAAACATTGATCTTATTGGTATGTTGGAAATGATATCAAACATGTACATTTGGAGTAAACCTCTTTGCTTAACATACTTGAAGCAAGATAAAGCAATGACCCCAAGACTTTGTCAGCTCATCCCAACTGGATCATTATTCGAGTTTTTTCAGCGTAGTGTTTCGCAGTCTTTTCTATTTTATCTGTACCAAGATTCTGCTACGTTAACGACTATTTGTCGATATTTTCTACAGAATAAGGTCAAACACTTCGGCTCATACATTTTGAATTCAGATGTGAATGTCAATGCGACACTAGCTGAAAAGGCATTTCCATATCTTGTGTTGTCTAAAACCAAATCTGCAAAGGAGATCCTGGGGCACACTCTTTGTTTATGGCGCTTGACGTTGTAGATGGCATGAATCTGGTGAACAAATTTGCCACAACCAAGCGCGAGACTTGCAATACAGAGAGATCATTATTTGAAGCTTTAATCAGCTCATACATGCTTAGCGTTAGGGGAAAGGAGACCTTTGATCCTATTTGCATATTACAACTAGGAATTCAACATTGTTCAAAATGGCTTATTGAACTGGCGTTGACATTTGTTAATCAAATTTCGTGCAAAGCATTTGAGCCGATTATGACAACATTCAAAAACCATCCAGATAAAAAAATTATGAAAGCCTTAGGATTTGCTGTGGTTCTATATTTTAGAAAAAGCTACAAAAATACCTACGATGTACGGGACGAAAAATTCAGCACTGGATACTTTGGTTGTGGTAACAAACAGTTCAAAGCCGAAAAATATACATATGAGGACTTTTGTGGGGTTAGGTCTTGTAGTACGCGGAGAAAATGAATTTAGTGAAGAATCGAAGGAAATGCTGCAATTTGAAAATAAATGTGCAGATTTACTCAATATGAAACTGAGTCCAGAAACAGTTAAATCTCTTCTCCGATCCCATAATAATATTACAATAATATCAGCGTCTTGTGTCCGTAGCAAGGGCTTTGGGACTAAGGAAAACAAAATATACCATACACCATGCATTCTATTGTGCTGTCCAGTAAAAGGCATCATACCTGCGGAAGAATTGCCCTTTCCATCTACATTGGAGGGTCATGAAGTTGATATCCGAGAAGCAACATGTATGTTTGCAGCAAATGATGAACCGCTCTGCGTTGGAGATGAAATTAGATCAGCAAATTCAGGTTCCATGGGAACTTTAGGTGGTTTTGTTGATTTGCAAGGAGGCTGTTCCAAAGGGTTAATAACGTGTGCTCATGTTGTTTTTAAACCGGGTGAACTAAGATTGAAAGATTTTGGAAAGCTCAAAAAATTTCATCGAGTCTACACCGAGATAACAGACGAGAACGGCTCTCATATCGGGGTTGTCGAGAGGGCTGTCTTTAAGGACGATAAGTATGATGGTACGAGTGTGGATGCTGCTCTGATTGAAATACCCCATTCTATCCCTGTCGATGGATCATTCTCTAAAAAGATGCGCAAAGAAGACGTTCGTTGTGCAGGTAATAGTATGTGGGAGGAAATGCCCGTGTGCCTTATTTGTTGTTTATTTATTATTTTAAAAAATGTATAATTATTCACTGTCAAAGAACGAATATTCTTTAGACCGCCAATTAGGTTAAAACGTCGTACAACGGCTTTTACAAGAAGTTTCGATTTATATGTAGTTTTAAGTATTGATAAATAATCTCTTGCCTAAATACTAAATTTCTATTTTCAGGTTTTTTTAACGAGTCGCCTCATTTTTCTTATGGAGGGATTGAAAGTGTTAGTTTTTCAAACATTGACTCAAAGATTGTAAAAATGGGAGCAGTGAGTGGACTAACTAGCGGAAGAATCAAATTTACGGAATCCATATTCCGCAGTGTGTCCACAACCCTCAGTGATAAATCAAATGTAACATTCCGCGGACAAATAGAAATCATGCCAGATATTGATCCTACAGTAGATTCAAATGACAGGCCTCCATTTTTATCTTCTGGGGATTCGGGTTCTTTTGTATTTATGGTTACGAGGAAAAACCCTTTAGTTTTGAAATGCATTGGTATGGCTATTTCTTTAACTTCATTTGGAACGTGCTTCGTCACCCCGATTGTTCCAATATTGGAAGCGTTAGAACTACCTCTGGACTGTCTTGCAAAATTTCGCGATTTACCGGAAGAGGAAGTAGACATCAGGAGCTTTTTAGTTAGCATCAAGTCAGATGTCAATCAAATAAGAAGTGAAATCAATACTAATTTAAATGACATAAAATCTCAATTGGCCAGTCAAGACCAAAAGATTCGCCGATTAGATTCAGAGAGAACAAAATGTAGCATTATATGAGAACTTTTCCCGTCTTGCCCTAAACATATACAATGTATGTATTAAATGTTTATGATTAGTGACTGAGAGTTTTAATGTAACATCAACAATCACTTATTTTTGAAGTGGAGAAGGGATTAACTTTCTTATTAAAGCAGAGGAAAGTGAAGCCAAATGACCGAGAATCTTATAATGCTAGAAGTGAGCATTCGTACGATATACGACATGAACAGCTGTTCACTTTATTCAAGTATAACTTGGTAAATTTTCAATGTTGCATGAAAATTGAAACTGCTTGTCAACTGCTTTCGCAAATGTTCACAAACACTTGTCTGTTACAAAAACTTTTAATCTTGGTCATATCTTTTGAATGAGAAGATTAACATTTATATTGCCTGTTACAAGATCTTTCTAAATATACTATGATTTTTGACCCCTTGACCTTGACGTTTTACTTACTTTCCAAACTTTTATCATTAATTACATTGGTCAAAAATTTGAAACTTTATATTTAAGTTGTTCAATACCCTTCTCGGGAATTTTTCAATGATATGGAGACGCCACCATAAATCTTTGCGGGTGGAGAGCTGCAAATTTTGTCCTATAATCGGCACTTAATGACGGCCATTGAGCAAAGAGTGATCTTTTTCGTGCCAGCATCTACTGCGAAAGGGACCTCGGTCTCATCCTAAAGACCGTTCTCCACGTCCCGGAGTGGGATTCGAACCCGCGACCTAAGGATCAGTTCCTTACTTTGCGACTCTAAGGGCAGATGCTCTAACCACTGCGCTACGCTGGCTACAAATGGAAAGAAAAAAGTAGGACTTTCATATAATTATAAACAAGTTGCTGTCCTTTAAAAAAGGACTACAATACGTGGACCATATGCATGTGTTTCTAACCGAAATTCAGTCAATTCAAGACAATTTCTAGGTTTAGTGAATATTCATGTAAGTTTGATCACAGTTTCTATTACTTTGACTGACAGTACTTTCATAGCAAAATTGTTAAATGTTATCTCCGATTGGCCTATATAGTTTTGTCATTTTTAAAAATTGGGCTATATTGATCAAAGGAGGATCCAGGTCCGGCGCGCCGGGCGTGCGCCCCTCCCCCCTCCCCGTTTGAATTTTTTGTAAGTATACGTCCATTATCCTAACATCAAGGCAAAAATATCTCATATTTGTAAAAAAAAAAAAAAAAAAAAAAAAAAAAGGACCTTGCCTTAGACCCAATGGGAGCTTCGGTACAGCCACTTGACCTTCGGACTTCTACTGCCCCCCCCCCCCCCCCCCCCCCCGTTACGAAATTCCTGGATCCGGTGTCATATAATTTATTCGCCATAGTTCCCCCCGGAAGTCTGGCTATAGTTCTCCCTGGGGGGAAATATCTATATAGTGAGACTTCCCCCCATAATGACCATAAGTCTTCTTCGGTTTTCGGTTTGGATTTTATATACATTGACATAATTAAATATTTATTGTATGCTTTAGGGACCTTTTAACTTTCATAAATTTTATGAATTTTTTTTAGGATTTGTATTTCATTTTGAAATTAAATTTGCTTGATATTAATGAAATTACATCCCTTTAAAATCAAATAAGATGGAGTTGAGTTCTAATACACTTTAAATCAAATTCTGACTGTCATGCATATTTTAGCAAAAATATGGAATGCGCTTAACCCCCCCCCCCCCCCGTTTTTTTTTTAAATTTAACCGGAAAAATTGCATGAAAATGTGTGCATCCCCTGCTCACCACACCGATTTTATTAAACTGGGTTTGGACGATTGGATGTTTGAATACACATATAAAAAAAACGTAAAATTTAAAAAATATATACTGCATTGCAATTGTCACTTATTTTACTAAACTATTTTGCACTAAAGTCGGAGATGGCTAATTTGTCCTTAAAGTAGATTTAAACTTTATGTATATGAAACTTTCGATAAATATAGTTAGGAACTAAGAAAGTCATCATTGAGATTTGGAATGCATGTTTTATTTATCACATTCGAGCACAATTATTTTATTTCTCGCATAGTCTTAAAGTACTATAAATTTTTCTTTTTTTTCGCTACATTTTTTATAAAATGGGTTGAATCATATCTAATGTGTAAATAGCTAATGTATATATACATTATACAATAGATACATATGTATATATATATATATATATATATATATATATATATATATATATATATATATATATATAGAAAGCACAAAAGTCCCCCCGGAAGTTATGTTAGTTTAAGAGTTGTTGTAAATTGTGCTTTATATATATATATATATATATATATATATATATATATATATATATATATATATATATATATATATATTGATGATAATTTCGTCATAAATTAACACTGTTAGAATTTTTTTAAATAATAAAACAATGCTCCGGAAACCATAATAAGAGGGGGAAGTCTCGCTATGAATGGGGGAAGGCTGGCTATAAAGTGAGCCTTATGGAAGAACGGCTATATAGTGAAACTTCCGTGGGGGAAGTTCACTATATAGCCATTCTTCCGGGAAGAAGGCTCACTATATAGAGCCTTGGGGAAGACACTATATAGTGAGCCTTCCGGGGGAAGCCTCACTATGGGCTAAAAATACGACACCGGCACTGTTAAATGATACATGTACCTCATAATGGCTGGGACTTGACACAACTGTTTTGGATTTATACGGAAGAAATCTATAATTTGAAAAATATATCTGATGGTATACGTGTAGCACAAGTACGCAGATTTTTTTTCAGCCCCCCCCCCTTTTCTCCATATGGAAAACTCTTGCTACAGGCCTGTATCACGCTATACTTGGATTGCTGTATATCGAATTATTTTTGCGAGCCTTGATGCACAAAACAAATGCCGATAAAGTCAAGTTCTTCCTACTTTTAAAATGCATCTGCCATAGAATTAAATAAATAAATACGATATGCAGGTTTAAAAGCGAAATTTGCCAATGAACAAGGTATATTCTCGAATAGGGCGAATTCGCGGGTGAGCTGTCTTAGCAAGGGGGCGAACTCTCCCAATCGCACATTCTCGGGCCTTTCCGACTGGCTAAGTTGTTTTTCCGACCTCTGACGGAAAGACCCGAGATAATGCGATTGCGAACTCTCCAGCATTCTCGCGCATGCGTAGCCTGTCGTATGCCCATGGCATCCTGTTTAACTTCGCTGATATATTTACCGCGTGGACCGCAGGGTCCACGCAATTAATTCCAGTGAAGCGTTCCGATTTACATTACGCCACTACCTATTTTGACAGCTGCGCTGAAGGTAAATACATGTAGTACAAATAGTACTCCTAACTGCAAGCTCTATGCTTCCTGATTGTGAAACACTACTAGTCAGATTGCAACGAGCAACCAATAAATGATAAGGAGAGAATATTTAAGAATCATTAAGCTTGCGGTTAGGAGGCGTGTACCATTAAAGTTGAGAGCTGCTGTCAAAATAGGTTGTGACGTAATGCAAAACGGTACACTTCATTGGATACTACCTGGTACTGGTATACATGTATGCCCCCCCCCCCCCCCACTCGGAGCTCCTCGGGTGGCTCGTACCTCGCACACTAACTGAATGGAGCGTAGCGGAGTCAGCCGAGGATTGCCGATTGTATATTACCCGTGAAATAAATTTACTATGATTCTTGACCCCGTGTCATTGACCTTGAAGTACTTTTCAAAAAAATTATTTTTCATTGTATTTTTCCTTTTAACTTTTAAGAAGATTTTTAAAGAATGTTTAGCTCACCTAAGCCGAAGGCTCAAGTGAGCTTTTCTGATCAAAATTTGTCCCTTGTCTGTCGTCGTCGTTGCTAGCGTCGTTGTCGTAAACTTTTCACATTTTCATCTTCTTCTCAAGAACCTCGGAGTCAATTTCAACCAATCTTGCCACAAGGTATCCTTGGGTGGAGGGGATTCAAGTTGTTTAAATGAAGGGGCAAGTCCTCTTCTAAGGGGAGATAATTATGAATTAATAAAAAAAATAATGGTATCTTTTAAAAATCTTCTTCTCCAGAACCATTGGGCCAGGAAAGATGAAACTCATGTGGAAGCATTCTCAGGTAGTGTAGATTCAAGTTTGTTCAAATCATGACCCCAGGGGGTAGGGCGGGGCCACAATGGCTGATCAAAGTTTTACATAGAAATATATACGAAAAATCTTTTAAAAATCTTCTTCTCCAGAACCATTGGGCCAGGAAAGATGAAACTTATGTGGAAGCAACGTCAGAAAGTGTAGATTCAAGTTTGTTCAAATCATGACCCCAGGGGTAGGACGGGGCCACAATGGCTGATCAAAGTTTTACATAGGAATATATAATAAACAGTAAAAATCTTTTTTTGAAATCTTCTCCAGAACCATTGGGCTTGGAAAAATTGAACTCATGTGGACGCATCCTCAGGTTGTGTAAATTCAAGTTTGTTCAAATCCAACACAAGCATACTTTTCAACACAGAGCTGATTTGTGTTTTTTTAACTAGCCCATGTACTCAGGTGAGCGGTGTGGCCCATGGGCCTCTTGTTCTATATATTTCTATGTAAAACCTCCCTACACCCAGATGTCATGACTTGAACAAACTCTAATCTACACCACCTGAGAATGCTTCCATATAAATATGACTTACCATGGCTTTGCTATTCTTCAGAAGAAGAGTTTTCAAGAATTTTTCTATACATTTCTATGTAAAACTTGGATTGACCAATATGGCCCCCTGCCCCCCTGGGTCATGATTTGATGAAACTTAAATCTATACTACTTGAGGATGCTTCCATATAAATATGACCAATCATGGCTTTGGTGTTCCTGAGAAGAATCTTAAAGAATTTTCAATGCAAAACTTGGATCTGCCATTGTGGCCCCGACCTACCTCCTGGGGGTCACGATTTGAACAAATTTGAATCTACACAACTTGGGGATGTTTCCCCGTAAGTTTCATCTTTCCTGGCAAAGTGGTTCTTGAGAAGAAGATTTTTAAAACATACTAACACATTTTCTCTATTTCTGAATTATCTCCCCTTGGATAAGGGTGTGGCCCTTCACTTGAACAAACTTGAATCCCTTTTACCCAAGGATGCTTTGTGGCAAGTTTGGTTGAAATTAGCCCAGTGGTTCTGGAGAAGAAGTTGAAAGTGTGAGAAGTTTACAGACAGACAGACGGACAGCTAGACAGATGAATGCCAAACAAAATGGTATCAGAAAAGCTCACTTGAGCTGTCAGCTCAGGTGAGCTAAAAATGCAAAGATCTTGCCAAGAGTCATCAGAGTATGGTTCTCATGTTTGTCTTATCACATCAATGAGTGAATTCAAGAAGAGTCAGAAGAATCAGACCACAGCACGGTCAGTAAACCAGGTTTTATTTTTCATTCACAGTTATATTATTAATACAATACATTTAACAATAACACAGTCTATTGACAGTCATTAGAAGCCGGCTCCAAGGCAGCCTTCACCCCGCACTCTCTGTCTCCAAGTTAACTTTCCCGACATGATGTCTTCCTCTTTCTTCTCCTACAATAAAGAGTATAACATTGAAAATATACTTTAATACAGAATTAGAGTTGGGACCCTAGCTGAAAGGGAGTCATTTTTGCTACAGATCAACTGAAATGGATTTTTTGTGTCGGTTTTCTTTGTATGTATTGTACATTTACTTTTGATATAAAATTCAAATAATACTGCATTGAATACCTGGTCTGGGGGCCATAAAACTTAGACGAGCTCACTTTTGAGCTAGTCTAAGTTTTATGGCCCCCAGGCACGAAAAGAGAAACTCACTCATGCATCAAAAAGTATGAAAGTTTTCTTTTCAAATCCTTCACTTTTAAATGAGGAATTTAACTGTTTGCATACTCAAAACTGATGCAGTCATACTGACTATTGAGTCGACTAAATATAGATATATCTATCAGACTAAAATATATATTATGTATGCAGACAATTAGATTAACATGTTATCTATAGGGACGTGCCTATAGTGACATCAAGCTTCGAGATGTCTTTACTTTTTATCACTAATATAAATTTTTTTAGCATTTAACCTTACAAAAAATACTTACAAAAGCATAACTCAAGACGTTATATGCAACTATAATAGGGAAAATCGAGTATTTAAATCCCCCGATGACGGATTTTTTTGTCAGTTGATGCAGGGCACTCTGGTTGTTTCTGTAGGCATACCATCTCATAAAGTTATGATCCAGCTAAAATAAAAATAACTTTATTTAATATCACTGAAGAACAACATTGGGTTACCTTATAAAAGCTGAACACTTCTCGTAAAAAAGCATATTAGTCTGCCATATTTCCTGTTCATCGACACTATCCCCTACAAACCCTATATATAAGGAGCACATCTCATAACAGTTCAATGTATATTGCTGTTGAAGTCCAACGAGTGTAGACATGCATCTTTCACTGCTGCAGTACTAGCTCTGTCATGATGAAACACTTCTGGGCAAAAAATATTGCGCCGTAAATTGCACCCTTTTGCATTACGGGATCTGTAGCGTTATGGTCAAAGACAAATATATAAAACCATAACGCTACAGATCTGCAGCTAATAAATTTATTTTGCAGAATTGGCAATTTGTATGCAAAAATTGTTTCAAAAACAAGTTTTTTTCTCTGTGTAATTTGCAAAATGGATTCAAGAGAAGTTATGGATCATGCCCTTAAATTTAACGACTGAGTCATTATGAGAAAATATCTGATAAAACTTGTCTTGGTTACCAGAAGATTTTGGTTTCAAGTAATTTATGCATATATGTAAATTATCAACTGCTGAATGTCTTTGCTCTTTACACTATAAATCTTTATTTTATTTATGATATTCTATTCTATCATGAGGTAAATTACTAATTAGTCACAACGCTAAACACTGAGATTGTGAAGAGACTCTTATGAGAAAATTCGAACTTACAATATGAGGCCTGCGCGGATCCGAATACAATTTCCTGTATTCTGCTCTAAATTTATCCCTCGTTTTCCGTCGTCTATCAATTAATTCGCGTTCTTCTTCTGAAAGTTTGAAGGTTTTAAACGGATCCCAACCTCTGTCCCCCATTTTTCACTTTTTCTCCCCGACCCCCAGGTCAAGTTGAAACCGGAAGTGGAAATCAACTCGCACATCGACTATTTCGAACGAACTCATTTTTGTCATATGACATATTATATCTACACGGGGAATTTCTAATTCAGGTAAAGCAGCTTACCTTTCATTTATTTTCATACATATATATTTTTTCTTAATACATAATATCAAATCATCACATTCTTTCTTGTAAATCACTTTTTTTTAATTCACGTGATGCTATCAATGAGTTTAAAGTCTGAAAATTGTTTATGTCTACACATGCTTATCAATTTGTCAGATGATATTCAAGTGATTTTATGACATTTAAAATTGAGGGCAATTGCATCTATAATTTTCAAATAAATATGTTTATGGATTCAAAAAGAAAAAACGCAGAGAATAAACTATACCGGTGTGTTTTCAAGGGGTGGACAAATTTTAAGAAGATAACTAAATCGATATACGGGTTAAATCAAAAGAATAGTAAATTGAGTAAATGGATTTATTTATGTAATTTATACCGCCCTTTCTCTCTCTATTTCACAAGGAATTCCCGTAGATACGTGTATTTTATTCTTCAAAATATATTTGGGATTCTAATATCAATACCGGGGATGTCTTCAGTTTATGCAGATTAAATTATACCTATAGGCGTCGGAACCGGAGGAGGCAGGTGGGCTAGGGGAGGTTTAGCCTCCTTCCTACTTTTTTTTTGCAAAGATATCCATAATATAGGCATTTAAAATTGGGGTATACCTTTCTTTTTGTTGATTTAGCCCCCCCCCCACTTTCAATTTACTCCCAATGCCTATGTTAAATATTTAAAAACTGTTATTATTGAGGATATTTTGTGTTTGCATCATTTGACATCATTGTACGATATAAATACATCTGTATCATAAACAGTTTAATCTTTAGATTTTGGGAAATAATTTAAACAAATTGATTTAATACAAATTTTAAACATAAAGACGCATCCTCATCTGTTAAAGTTTAGGATATTGTTCAGGATATCTATACATGTACATAAGTTTCTTTGTCATATATAAACCAAGCACACCTAGGAAACCCTAGAAATATTTATCTTCAGCTATAAAAATACATGTATTTTTATAGTAGGGGTAACTATATTAAAAGAAGATAAATATTTCGTGACAAGCCCCTGTGAGGAAACTAGCTTGCTAGAAAAATTATGAATTTGAATTCTTATATTTTAAAAATTGGGTGAACACAGGAATTATATTTCCTTTCAGGTGAAAAGAAATGGGCTTCATTCTTGAAAGGACTTCAGTTTAATTAGATTAAAAACCCAGGATTTCGTTCATTTCTTTGTCCAGCTCTGTAGATTCCCGACAGACAGCCACAGCATTTTTCCTGTGTATAAATAAAAGTCAGAAAAAAAGATATATTTCACAGGTCAGTATTGCAAAAATTTTTTTTCTATACAATGTCTTATAAAAAGAGTTCCATCAAAAAATGTAAACATCTGGAAAATGACTCAATGCTTGCATTGTTGTTTATATCCCCTCTCAATATTGCATGGGTAGGTGTATAGATTTTGATCGATTTTTAAAGAGATAATTTCAAACAAACTCTTAACCATCGTCTTAAGCCACAGGTTTTGTGTCCATTCTATTTTCACAAATAGAAATGAAAAGGGGGGGGGGGGTCCACAAACACCTGTCTATTCTAGGGTCATTTTACTAATTAAGATATTCTGATTAGTAATCAGAATATGTTCTGCATATTTCTGTGTTTTTAATTTTTTAATGAATCTAATCTTATACGATGTATGGATTATATAAAACTAAATGTGATCAATGAAGTTCTAATACACCGTGTATATCCCAACATGCGGGGTGTATACTATGTTGTGCGCGGGGTGTATGCCTCCAATGGAGAGAAAGGGGGTCAATGTACGTTCTTTGTCCATTTTCTCAACTTACGGGTATTTTTCGTCAGAAAGCATATGCCTACGGAAGGGAGCATTGTCTAAGGAGTGTATGGATACCTGTGAATCCACTGGACACCTTCTAGTTTTATCAAACACCTCAACACAATTCTGAGGATCGTAGCAAGATTGACGCGACACTGTGTTTATGATCAAATATCAGAATAAAGCTTTGCTTTATCGTCACTTTTATATAATTGTTAAATACATGTTTACAATATGAACGTTTGTACAAATTGTCTGTAAATAAAACAGTTCGTATATAAAGATATTGACGAAAAATCAATACACGGTGTAATAGATAAATTGAAAATTATCAAGTTGTACTTGAGACAAGTGAAATTTTTTTTTACAAGAGGCTTTTTACGCACTCTTTACTGTTGCTTGACAGACATTCTACCTTACTTTTTCATCCAACTCTTTTCTTGATTTGAATAGTTCTATAATACCTATAAAGTACAGGGGCGTAGCAACAGGGGGGGGCCTGCCCCCCCCCCCACTTTTTTTCCCAACCTTACTTATACTATAGGAAATGTTAATTGAAAACCTGATTGCCCCCCCCCCCACTTTTAGTAATGTACCGAAAATGTAGTGTTAGAATTGGTACTGAAAGTAGAAGTAGTTGACACTGATAAAAATTTGACCCCCCCCCCCCCCCCACGAAATAGGATTTTCGCTTTCTGGGCAACTTTTCCCCCACCCCCTTTTTTTTTTTTGCTTGTCAACTTTTTCAGGTAAGTAAAAAAAAATTTTTTTTCTGCCTGCCCCCCCCCCCACTTTCAAAAACGATGCTACGCCACTGAAGTAATTATCTGAAAGTCAAGTGCTCTATAACTTCAGGTCTTTTCCCAGTACTAAATTAACGATGTTTCAACCCTGAGTCAACCAAGTGAAGTTGTGTCAATGTTTTAGGTCATCTTTAGTATGGATAATTTTCACATACTTGTATTAATCATCGAATTTATGCAAAAAATATTACGCCGGAATACAAAACTTTTTTCAATATATTTTATTTTTTGTGTGATGGTGGTGAGGAATAAGGGGGGGGGGGGATTCTTTCGCCCTCAGAAAAAAAAACATCGACAGAAAAGGTGTTGAGTATTCAATTGGTGGATTTATGTCTAAGTTATGATAGAAAGGATAAATAGAAATAAAATAGTTCTTTCCAAAATAATAAATTATCGGGTAGATTTAAAATTTTATGCTTATTTTCGGGATTAATTAATAGTACTGTAATAATGAATATCAATTCCCGCATAAGTACATCAAAGCCTATCATAGAGCGTTTTTTCCAAACTTTTTTCACAATACATATATAAGTGAGTCGACACAGGGTGAAGAAAATTTTTAGAAAATTATTAAATGTACATAAAAAAATAATGATTTATAAAGATACTGTTTATTTTTAGCTAAACTGGTTTAAATATATATGCCTAATGGCTGATAATCAAGTAAGTAACCCAGTGTATACAAAGAAATATTACACATCAAAGCACTGTAGATCAATGGATACTTATACACCATACTGACCATACCCAGAGACCAATGCATCTTTGTCAGAAAGACCTTTTCCCAATCTCATTAAAATTAGATCTTTGACCGGCTCCAGTTTGAGCAATCAAATTGGAGCGGATCAAAAGGTCAAATTAATTTCAATTAGATTGAGCTTTTTTCCAAATGCATTTCAACATTCACCTTCCCATATGTACTTCTTATTCCCAATGTTCTATTTTCATTTTGATTCATATTTTAGTTGTAACTTTTAAACATAATATGAATAAGACAAATGTTGTTATTTATGACTTAGATGCATTATATATAAATCATATCGACATTTTTTTTAAAATCTGAGCACAGTTGAGCGATTCCGGCAGTCACGGCCCTATTCCTTTGCATGCATCAGGTCTGTCTATTCCATTCGCTGCTTTCTTTATTGTGGGTGAAATCGCCGGGTCTGGGGTGTTAGCCCTCCCCAAAGCCATCGATGACTCAGGTAGGTAGCTTTTTTGTTTCATGCATGGTTCTTTAAAAACGTTTTTAAAAAACTACAGATAATTTATATGTCATGCAAAAAATGACCAGCGTTGTGAAATTTTCTTGCTCTCTAGGTTGGATCGGCCTCGTTTTGATTGTGGCATGCGCACTCCTGTCTTCCTACACGGGGAGCATTCTGGGACAGGCATGGCTAATTGTTAGAGAAAGATACCCACAATACAAAGAGCATTGTCCAAATCCATACCCAGTGCTAGGAGAAAAGACTTTTGGGAAGAAAGGAAGGTTAAAACAAATAAATGCCTTTATTATACATGTATACACATTGTCTATCAAACGTGTGGCAAGACCTGGAGTTCTTTCACTTCTTTGTGTTCGCAGAGGTCTACTCAGTATTGGTATATATTACAACTAGAATAAAATAAGCATATTGGGAAGTGTGTGTGTTCTCTGGAATTTTCCAAACATTCAGTTAGAGCGATTCAAGTGTTTCAGCTTCATGTCTCAACGAAGTCTTCTAAATGATGATTGATTCCTGTGTCTTTACCGTGCAATTTATTTTTAATAAACACGCCTCTAATGCCCTTTTTTTACACAGACGTGCTCTACTCGTCCAGGGATATAGTTAACATTTTCATTGCATTCTCATGCATGTTATTTAACTTATAAACCCATTTTATTCTTATCGCAAGGATAATTTCAACGAAAACAACAAAATTTTACATCCGCCAAAGAAAACAATGTACATACATAGTTTATCAGTACTTTCCGTACTTTGATTTTAGATATGTGGTCTCCTTCTCCATTAACTTCACGTTGTTTGGAGTGTCTACAGTCTTCCTGCTCCTGGCTGCAGGGAACATAGAGGATTTGATAGAAGACTGGACTGGCACCGATCTGTCCTTCTGCGTGTGGCTGATCATTCTAGCTGCCGTCATCTGTCCGTTTACATGGTTTGGCACTCCGGTCGATTTTTGGTAAGATGTAATGTTTATTGCTGCATTTTTTGATGAATAACAGAAGTAAAAAAATCAAATCTAGACCCTCCCTAAAAACTAAGTAAAAAATGAAGCACGTATGTTGAAAGAAGATGGGCATATTTGGCGTGTAATCTGCAGGAATCATTTGTACGAAACATTTATGGTTTAAATGTTCATGATTTGGTTGGCTAACATAGCTTGTCAGATTTTACAAACACATCCATAGAAGTTTTTTTTCATTTAGTTTGAACTACCTAGTTAGATTGTAACATTTATGACCGTTTACTTTTTACAAGGAGGTACAACAACTAATTAGTGTTTCACAAAAAAAAAAAAAAAAAAAAAAACATATAAAATTAAAGGCATAGATGTGTGTTGTAAAATTATATGATTGGAATTGATTTCGCTCTAGAACCAAACTGAACCAGAATATAAAATCTTTCAAAATTTTAATACATCAGTACATAAAATGAAACTGACAAAATCATTGACTTTTTGTATTTTAAAAAAAATTTAACGCCCAATGCGAGGCTCGAACCAAAAAGTTTTCACATCTAGTACACTGAACAGGCAGTCTACATAATTGAGCTATCACCGGTATACATTTAATAAGGTTTTAAAAGGAGAAAGATGCATCACATTTACACAGTTGGTTTTTTTTGGGAAAAGTTCATTTTTCATGGTCTCTGGGTCTTCTCTCCATTTTTTACAAATGTTTATTAGTTTCTTTGAATTAAAATCCACACATATAACGCTTAAAAATTATGGACAGAAGACCCAGAGATAGAAAAAATTTAGAGAAATGTTTAAAAACGTACCATTTTGTACGAAATGTCTGATCCAGCCAATTTTCAAGTTATTTTTTAGCAAATCAAAATTCTCTTTCTGAAAAATATTTTCCTATCCTATTGCACAGGAAACTGATAAATAAAAAAAAATTAAAATTTCAAGTAAACTGTCGAAAAAGAATTTCACCTTTCAAGTACGCCCAGATTCCTGCCGAATGCCAATCAAAAGCGCCCTCGTTCTTTTGCTAAACTTTTTTTTCTTAAATCTTAAGGTTCATTGACACTCTGATAAGACAGGTAACTCTCACTGGACTAAAAGACTTTTTATGCTGAAATGATACTTGTGCATTTTTATCTCTTGGAAAATAATGTGTCAGACATAATTTTGTATGGATGAAGTACTTTTAAAGAACTAAAAACTTGATACATTGCAATCCTTTTCCCCTTAAACTTTGTTCATTAATTAACCACTGGGAGAACTTTATATCTCGATCATTACTATAGGCCAGTTGCGGTGGGAGCAACACTTGCTACAGCTGTTGCGTGTATTCTACTTATCATCAAAGTTGCTTTAGATGAGGGAACATATGACCCTATACTACACTCAAAGACAGAGTTCGAGCCATTCTTTATGGCGTTTGGGACTATCGTATTTGCCTTTGGGGGCCACCCTGCCTTTCCAACCTTCCAGACAGACATGAAGAAACCCAGTGACTTCAAGTGGGCTGTGACACTAGGATATATAAGTATGCTAATAACTTACGATTATCTCTCGTCAGAAATCCAAGGTTGAGTACGCTTCGTTCCTCTCTCCATCAGAGAGAGAGAGAGAGAGAGAACGGTGCGTAATAATTGAAACCGTGTATTGCAGGATTTCAATTTTCGGACGATTATCACTAAATTGTGCAACGATTGTCACTTTCTGATTGATATATTTTTGTCTTTTCTTTAAGTTGTGATGTTGATGTACCTTCCTATATCCACCATTGCGTACTTTGTCTACGGCAAGAATGTCAGTTCGAACATTCTCCTAATGCCTAATGGCGGGCGCCTTAATCAGGTCGTGGAGGTCATGATCACACTTCACTTACTTCTCGGTCTGTTGATTGTTATCAACCCTTTCTGTCAGGAGCTAGAGTCATACGCCAGGGTTCCTAAAAGTAAGACTTCAGCATGGAGATTATTGTATTTTCAGCATACGCAATTTGGTGTTTTCCCCATTACACAGTATTGAAAATCACTCTTTGCCTTTATGTTCCATTGATAAAAACAACTGTCCAGTCAAGAGATAATTTTTTCATTTTTTCTAAAAGAATTTATTATCAGTTATTTCTTAGTTTTCCACGAGAGCTCAATATCTTGTCATCATAGCATTTTGCGTTATTTCGGGAAAACGAGGTATTGCTCACAGGAAAAAAAAGTGCTGTAAATCACTTATTATTCGCCAGAACTTTATTTTTAGCGTAATTACGCAAGGCGGTTTTATTCTCTCGGATTTTTTTTATAAGTATAGGATCTATACTTCGAAAATCAGTAGTCCCGCTTTAAAATATCAGATATATAACCTGCGAAAATAAAGTGTCGCGAAAATTTGGTGGTTTACAGTATTTACCACGTTTACAGTAAAAACGGAGAGGCTCATTACTTCAAACATCTGTACGCATGATTGTTTTCAGATAGAAAAATCATACTCAGATTTAATTATCAGAATTTAATATGCCTATTATAACCTTTCTCCTTAGATTTCACGTGGAAGCGATGTGTATTTAGGTCAGTGGTTGTAGCCTTCATACTTTTCATGGCGGAAACGATCCCCACATTTGGCGCCATTTTATCCTTAGTGGGCGGATCCACGGTGACGTTGTTAGCCTACATCTGTCCGTCTCTGTTCTATCTCAAACTTAAGTCTGTTCGTCAGGAGGACATGGTGGAAATCATAAATGGAAACAAGGCTGATAGTATTAGTCTTCCAGATGAAGAAAGGTATAAGGACTTTGTACAGTAAACCCTAGATATAAGAATACCTGTTGTTCCAGATTTTACATTTATCACTAGGAGCAATTGTGAGAAGAAACTGAAAAGAATTGATTCATATATTTTAACTATAAATCTTCTTATCTGCTTGAGCGAATACACCCTAATTTCAAAAATTATGTTGCAAAAATAACCACATATTAATTTACTTTATTGTTTTATCCATATCAGCAAACCATGCTTTTTATGACACAAAATCCCGTGGCTTGCGACGTTGGCTTCTGATAGGTCCATTCGATTTTTTAATCCCTTGTCCGTTTATTTCAGTCGTGGTCTTCCGCTGTGGGTTAAGGTCCTAAACATTGAAATCATTCTACTGGGAGCCGTGGCCGGTATCGCCTCGACTTACTCCGCCATTAAGTCCATCATCAGCAGCGACTTCTCCAAACCGTGTTACGTATGAAGAAGCAGTGGTTCATATCAGTATTAACTCTTACGTCCCGGGGGATTTCGTCACCAAGGGTTTTAACATTCTTCGCCCCCCAAAAAATGGCAGGAGAGAGAGAGCGATATATTTTGTACAGGGAATGATTTCCGGTGCATAAAAATGAGATTTGTCATTCCTTAGTGATAATAATATAATATAATAACAGTTAAAAGAAATAATTTGATAAATGCTTTATTGATGTCAATTTATATTACAAAGTTTAATACATACACAGTGTTTATTTAAATGCTGATTATTATATAGAAATGGAAAATTTGAAGGGAACGTCAAAAACATTTACTCAATATAAAAGAAATGAAAACTAAAATTCTCTAAATAAAATACTTTCTTGCTTCATTTTGACTTTCGCTTTCTTCACAGTGTCGGTAACAATTTTCAAAATTATATATACAGTTAAATACATTTATAGCAAATGCATGTTTATTTTTAATGTCATTCAAGCAAATTATGAATTCTTTCTTTCCTTACTATGAATAAATGATGAAATTGAAAACAATAAAGATAATCCTAGCTGTCTTTGAAGGCTAATTAGGTCTGCATTCCTTACAGTGTTCATTATTTGATGAAGGGGAATACTCCTTGAAAAGTACTAAATATTTTATACAATGTATTTTCTTTAGGTATAATAGATGTCAAGCAAAAATATTTATCAGTGTATCTAGTGACTATGTCTTTACTGGTCAATTTCTAGATTTTGGAATATTGTGCCAAAGGGAATTGATCAACGAGAGTAATGACCGGTCTCTGTCGGACTGAAGCTCTAGGTCCTTACTTGACCGGACAACGCTTGATTTCCGGCGTTCTGTTCCTTCAGAGCAGGGGCAAAATCCAAAACATGCCAGCCTCACACCCCTATAGTGTAAATGAAAGACTGTAAAATCACATGTTTTCTTTGGGTTGAAAATTATTTGATTGCAGGGAAATTATTCCGTCGTTGATATTGCCGTAGAGGATATTTTAATTTGTGGGTCTCTTTGTAACACTCACGAAAATTGTATAAGCAGTCGCAAACTTAAATGTCTAATTTTCGACACTTACGCACACTCCAGTTTGCAGGGATTGAGATAGACGAGACCGTCCGAACCACAGACAAGGAAGTCCGGGTACCCCTCACAGTCACAGCACGGACACTCGTTCTGACACGCCACGCTCACGTTCCTATAAACACGTGACCCTGGATTAATTCTTACATGCTTAAAACCAAGTTTCTGCCTCACCATAAAATTTTAATTTTTTAAGTTATCATGAATACTAAAATAACAAAGTACATGCAGTACCAATACTTGTATATTAATATCTTATACATTGAATTAAACATGGATGATAGAATAGATACCTAGCTCAACTGCAATTTTTGAACTAGATATTCGGAGTTTAAAAAATATCCGAATAAAAAAATATCCGTATTTTTTTTAAGTAATTGAATTTATGTACAGAGATTATTTGGATCCTTACAGACATTTGGCTTGACATTTGTTGGAGCACGTCACATTGTTGGTGCCGCAGACGGGAGCAAACTCCATTGTACACGCACAAGGCTCTGAGCAAGGACACGTACCATTACAGGCAATGGTGGCCGCACTGCAACGTTTCAAAACTTTATTTTTGATCATGATTAACAATTATTTTAGAAAGTGATACAAGTATATATGCATGCGAACAGCACTTTAAAGCTAAGGTCTAAATACCGAAGACAAGAATACAATTATAGGATAGAAAAAACAAGAGCGCTTGACATGCTGTCAGCTTACTCGCACGCTGCCTCGCATGCATTGGTGTAGTTTTGTCCTCTGGTACTACAGACAGGTTCGAGGGTGTCCGAACAGTTACAGGAAGCAGGGCAGGGGCACTCCCCGGGACAGGCTGCCGGTACCTCCCTATAGCACAAAATTAAACTACAGTAACTCCTTTTCTCAATAAAAATTTGCGATTTTTTAATTGAAAAAATTAAATTATACCAGTGTATGTTAAAAATATCCACATAAAAGCCACGGACAAGGTTTTCTTTTCGTTTAAATTGTCATAAGAAAAGATTGCTGACTTTATAGCTTGCCTAATGACTCTATATATTTACCACTGACAGTAATTCCACTCAGTATCAATGTGCCTACTCCGACTGTACTCGATGATATTGTGTCTACAATGACTACTTACTAAAATTGTGTTTACAAATTACAACTGTCTACTTCCTGCCACATAGTCTTGAGACAGTCCTAGCAAAATCGGGCATCTCCTATTATACTATATAGATCTACCCGATTTTGCTAGGACTGTCTCAAGTCCCCGTGCTTCTTGCTAGGGATTTCTCGCTGACACTGTGTCTTCTCATTGAAATTTTGTCTTTTTGTTGACATTGTTCCATATTGTCAGACATTATTTATTGACATTGTCTACTCACTACCACTGTCTACTCACTGACTCTGTGTCTAACCACTGACAGTCATTACCTATTGACATTTATTCTCATTGCAATTGACGATGTCTACTCACTGCCAACATTTACTCACTGACAGTGTGTCTACATACTCTAGCTTCTAGTTGACCTCGTGTCTATTCACTCCAATCCTGTCTATTCAGTAACATTGTGTCTACATATTCTGGCTACTAGTTGATATCGTGTCTATTCACTGCGATCCTGTCTATTCACTAACATTGTGTCTACATACTCTGGCTACTAGTTGACATCGTGTCTATTCACTGCTATCCTGTCTATTCACTAACATTGTGTCTACATACTCTAGCTACTAAATGACATCGTGTCTATTCACTGCAATCCTGTCTATTCACTAACATTGTGTCTACATACTTTAGCTACTAGCTGACATCATGTCTGTTCACTACAATCCTGTCTACTCACTAACATTGTGTCTACATACTCTGGCTACTAGTTGACATCGTGTCTATTCACTGCAATCCTGTCTATTCACTAACATTGTGTCTACATACTTTGGCTACTAGTTGACATCGTGTCTATTCACTGCAATCCTGTCTACTCACTGATATCATATCTTTTATGAAATCTGTCTACTAACAAAACTATCAATCACTGACAGCGACTTTAGACTGCTAGACACTGATAATGCGTACTGAGTATTTACCAACACGCTGTACTTACTGACAGTACTTACTGACATTGTGCTAGACACGGATTGGCGTATGTTATACCATCTGTTCCACATACAGGGTTGTATATTCTTGGACATGCGCATTTCTTCTCGCATGGACAACTCCCATTACAAGCAATTTCTTCTTCCCTAATTATTTTAAAAAATTTTGTTTGTTCAATGTTAAAGTTAAAAGAATAATTGGTGACAGACATTGCATTAAAAATAATCAAGTTTAAAATTACATTTTTCCTCCCCAACTTTGATTTGTCTGAAGTTTTCCCTTATCATAATACAAGTGTACTACATTTATTTGATTTATTTCATCTTTAACGATGAAATCCGGGTAGTGCCACACAATACCCCGGTACACTATTGCAGCATTGAAGTTTGGGTTGATGGTGCGATGGCAATGATGACATGGCGCTGTGCTGAATGTGCATTGATAACGATGGTGCAATGACACAAAATAGAGTGGTAGCGCTATGTCGCGATGAAATGATGACGATAATGCAATGCCCTTTACGTGGTGATTCAATGACGATGAAGCGAAGCTCCAACACCATCGCTCCATCACCGTCGACCATTGTCATCTCAGTATACCATCGATCATCGTGCCATCGACTTCAAAGCCGATGTGCGATAACGAATTAAGTGTTCTTTTTTTCGATATCTAGCCCTTATTTTGAAAATAACCAAAATTACAAAATTCTTCTTTGATGATCAAAAGTTCAACTCCCTTTTGAAAAAGTGTTTCAATGATTTTTTAAAAAAATATGAAATGAAGCTTACAAGCATTCGGCTGTACATTCGTTAATGATGGTCTTGTTAGAAGTAGTACAAACTGGGTCAATATTTGGTGGACACTCACAGGGGCCGGGGCAAGGACAGGCACCCTCGCACTGGACAGTTACACCGCTTCAAAACAAAATAAACAACTATATACAATTCTTGCCTGATTCAAAATTGTAAAAAAAAAACAAAAAACTATACAACCGTACGTCTAATTAAAATCTGATTAAAAATCCCATTTATATTTTAAAAAAAACACAGAGATACAAATATTGTTGAAACATTCACCTGCAGTTTGCCATGCACTCTCCTCCATATGTGACGTCATCAGAACCGCAGACAAGACTTGTGACTGGCGGGCACTTGCAGCCAGGGGGCGTTGTAGGAGTTGTCGTTGGCTCACAATGACACGCACCAGTGCATGCTACGCTTGCAAACCTGAAAAACCCATTTATGGGGATTTTTGAATTCCAAATACCTCTATTTCCCTTCTAACTTGATATCATGATCAAATAAATTAAGAAATAAATCTATACTTTATTTGAGAACTAACATACTAAAATTGAAAGTAAATCAGACCGAGGCTGGCTACTGACAGATAAGTTGATGTAACCGGGATCTAAAAAAACTTGTTAAGGTTTTTATTTGTAAGTTCTATGTTCGTTATAATGATCTTGTTACCAAATATATTGGGTCGTATTTTGGTTGACCTGTCTCATAGTTCATACCAATTGCCACGCCTTTGTGTTTATACTGAATCGGACTACGGAATGTTCCGTCCACCTGATCCATACATAGGGATCACGGCGGATGTGACAGGCCGACAGGGGATCTAGATTCCTCCAGCTGATCCCATCTCAGGAATTTCCAGGGGTCCGTGTTTATGCCTTCTTTTTCTTCTTCACAGATTTATTTTGTTAAAAGATTTTTTTTAGATCGATCGCTGTTTGTGATCTTCATCCGATATATATACAGACTGATTAATTAAAATTTAATTTTGTAAACATTGCAGTTGTGAAAATGAGAATATTCATTGAAAAGAGTACGTCATGGTCTGGCAAAAGGGTTAGAAACAATTTCAAAATCTTAAAATTGTTCAATAGTTGAAGCTTTACTAACCCACACTTGGCCCAGCACGGATTTATGTAGGTGACGCCATCAGTTCCACAGACTGGGTCTACCTCTCCTCCACAGTTACATAGGGAACGAGGGTGACAGGGACAGGGGCGATTACACTCCTCCCCAACACCGCTACAGGAGAAATTAAAACATAAATAACAAGATATGTTTGTGAAACACTGATACCCCCGTATGGCAGCTTATGGCGAGAATTGAAGTTTCTGAAATGTAACTCAAACTCCAAGATCAAAAGGTCAAAATTGTTGGTCTCCAAAGGAAGGTCTTGTCACAATGAATACACTTGTAAAATATGAAAGCCCTAGTACTAACGGTTAAAAATGTGATGGCCATTGTTAAAGTTTTATTTAAAGTGGCTCAAACTCTTAGGTCAAGGTCAAATATTTTTTCACTATTTGAAAGGTCATGTCACAAAAATACGTACACATGTGAATTATGAAAGCCTAGCACCAACTATTCAAAAGTTATAACCAAGCTTAAAATTCAGCACATTGTGGTAAAAGTGGGTCAATCTCCAAGGTCAAGGTCACGAGGTCTAATCTAGTGGTACCCGAAGAAAGGTCTTGTCACAAGGAATACACCTGTGAAATATGAAAGTCATAGCCCCATCCATTCCGACCATTCAAAAGTTACAAGTATGGGTAAGTTGAAAGTTTTTGCGGACAAACAGACATGCAGACAGATAGACGGATGGTCAGGGCAAAAACTATATAATCCAGAATCTTCAATTAAGGGGGCATAATAAAAACGTGACATACTAAAAGGTATACCAATGTATCACGTTATAAATATCTTCTATTCATAACAGTTCTAAGATCGTACAAAGGCAGACCCTTATAATGAGAAAATGCAACCCATTCCCTTGTGACAAGACCTTCCATTGAATACAAGCAAGTTTAACCTTGGAGTTTTACCTACTTTTGAAAACTTTAAGGATATCCGATTTTCAGACAGGAAGGATAACTCCAAAAATTAATACTTAATTAGAAATACATCAAAATGAAGCTTGAAGCTGAAATTTTTTCATGCAACAATTTTCATTTTATTCATCTTCATAAGATTCAAGGTTTTTGGAAGTCTTAGGAAAGGTCTTATAAAAGCTGACATTTGTACACTATAAAGGGAAAAGAATTAATACAGTTTTAGAGAAATAAGATTTTCTTGAATCCAGCTTTAGATACCATTTTTTAGTATGATATAAAATAAGAAGTAATTTGTAGTGTCTTGTAATGATAGCAAAAGCCGTTTACACTATGTATTATAGAATACATGATGGAAATAGAAGACAAAAAAGTATAAAAATCATGACAATTTCTCTGAATGCCTGGATACCTATCGATTTTTAACCGAAAATATATTTGTTGTTCAATTTGCAATAAGAAAAGTCATTGCTGATATTCGCTTTTTCTGCAAAAATATTAGAGATTTGACAATTTTCCCTATATGATGTGATTAACTTTCATCTTTAACTTTAAAGAAATACTGTGGATAAATTTACATAACTTTATGGATTCAGAGATACTTTTATGAGTATTTTTGATTACTAAACTGCTAATTTTTTAAACCTGAGGATCGGACTACCTTAAAAAAATCTTTTGACTTAATTTGATCTTGGACTTGCATTGATCTTTAAATCGTCATTAGCTGCAATACGGGACTTCCTACCTAGATAGACTATAGACTATATTCAGTAGCAATAACTTTTTTTTTTTTTTTTTTAAATTTGTAACTCAGCAAAAAACAAAGATATAAAGAGAGTTGACTCACAAACAATTGGCCATACAGGGACTAGAGTACGTGACGCCGTCTCTCCCACACACCGGCTGATAGTGGCTTCCACGACACTTCTTAGAACAGACTTTTTGGTAAGGCATGCCGCTGGAAGGCTGATGTTTCAAGAGGACTTTGTTGCTGTCAATGTTTTCGAGGGATGGTTGCTGAAATTCTTCAACTTTGTGAAAATAAGAGCATTATTTGATCCTTTAATTTGTGAAAGACTGTAGGTTCCAACTTTCTTTCATAATCAAATTTTATTTAATTAAGGATTTCCATTATCATGATTCTTTCTGCTTCAACAAAAAGTAAAATAAAGTTTTCTTTTTTGCGATTTCACAAGCTTTAAAGACAGGAAATGCATTTTGAAAGCATCAAAAGATGATACTAGATTTTATTACATACCAATTTCTGATCCAGCAAATGACACACAGATCGTAAAAGCAACCAACAAACGAGACAGTGCTCCTATAGCCATCCTTCTGTCTAAAGCTATCTATGCCACTGGCTGCAAGGTGCGCCGACAGGAAGGAAAATACATACATGTATAATATATAACTGATGGATTGCCCCGGTTATGGACACAAGATAACTATTGTATTTATTATCGAAAATTTGTGAAGTTATTAAATAATGAATGGGTTAATGCAGATAGTGAAAATTGCATCTCTGTACTTTGTAAAATATGAAATGAAAATACCAATTCCTTACAGCTTCCACTCGCTACTGATTTGAATAGCTGAATCCATTTGACAAGGTTCCTAGGAACCGGGAGGGGAGGGGTGCCATATCGCTCATCTGAGTACTGTGGTTAGGAAAAAAGAAAAATCAGTTTAGTATTAAAAAGCTTAAATGTATGAGTGGTCCCAACCTACCCCTAAAAGGCAGAAGGGGTAAGGGGGAATGGGTACGATTTGAACAAACTTGAATCTACACTACCTGTATGAACAATCATGGCTTCCATGTTCTTGAGAAGAAGATTTTGTAAGATTTTAGCTAAACTCCCATGCTAAACTTTCATCGTCCATTGTGGCTCCATCCTTGCTACCTCCGGGGGTCATAATTTGAACAAACTTGAATCCAGACCACCTGAGGATGCTTCCATATAAATATGACAAATAATGGCTTCACTGTTCTTGAGATGAAGATATTTTAAGATTTTACCTATATTTCCTATGTTAAACTTTGATTGTCCATTGTGGCCCCAGCCTTCCCCTGGGGGTCTTGCTTTGAACAAACTTGAATCTACACTACCTGTGAATGCTTTCACATACATATTAACAATCATGGCTTTGCTGTTCTGTAGAATATTTTCCCAATACATTCCTATGTTGAACTTTGATCAGCAATTGTGGCCCCGTCCTAGGGCTCATGATTTGAACAAATTTGAATTTGCACTACCTGAGGATGCTCCCACATGAGTTTCATCTTTCATGGTCCAGTGGTTCTCGAGAAGAAGATTTTTAAAAAGATGCTATTAATTTTTCACTACTTCATAATTATCCCCCTTGAAAGAGGGCGTGGCCCTTCATTTGAACAAACTTGAATTCCCTTCACCCAAGGATACTTTGCAGCAAATTTGGTTGAAATTGGCCCAGTGGTTCTTGAGAAGAAGATGAAAATGTGAAAAGTTTTCGACAACGACAGACAACAGACAAATTTTGATCAGAAAAGCTCACTTGAGCCCAGGTGAGCTAATAAAGCTCTTTTAAGATTTTGCCCCACAGTAAAATCCTTGATGACCTTTCTTCTTGTCAAGAAATCGAAAAAAAATTCTTAAGTTGATTTTCTATCCATTATACCATACAAAATATGCATTGCACCCTACTTTTAACACAAGATAGTCTGCTATCAACTTTACGCAATACGCAGCAATGGGTCGAAGCCCTTAGCATTTGTTAAGCCTTAGTTTTTATACTAAAGTTGACTAAGGAATGTTCCATCCTGGTTAATACATAACGCTCAACAAGGGATAGTTACTTGTCCTCAGCACCTGATTCCCACCTGAGGGACCGTGTTTTAGCCATGTTTATAGTTTTGTACTTCTGTAGATTTGTTGAGTTCAATCACTAATCATCTTCACCATTTGCATGTCCAGAATGTTTCTCCATTTCAGTCTAGTTTTACAATAATGAAAGAAAAAGTGAGCAAGCTCACATACCCCACGCTCCCCCAAAACTCAAAGTGCTGAAATTGCCGGGAAAAATAAAGGAATCCCAATTTCCTGGTAATGTGCACATCTACACATTGTGTCCTAATATCTGCCAAGTTTGACGAAATTCTGTGCAGCTGTTTATGATTAGTTGCGCTGACAATCTCTTCATTTCTGTATTCAAAGTATGGCCAAAAATCTAATTGAAAAGTACCGAAATTCCCAGGAAAATAATGGAATTGGAATTTCTTGGTAATATGCATATCTACACACTGTGTACTAAATATACGCTATGTTTAGCGAAATTCTGCACAGCCGTTTAAGAGGAGTTGCGCTGACAAACTGTTCATCTCTATATTCAAGGTATGACTAAAAATCTAAGTTAAAAAAAGTGCCGAAATTCCCGAAAAAAATAAAGGAATCGAAATTTCCTGGTAATATGCACATCTACACACTATGTCCTAAATATCTGCAAAGTTTGACGAAATTCTGTGCAGTTGTTTATAAGGAGTTCCGCTCACAAAAAAACAGGACTAACGGACTGACTGAGGAGTCAAAAACATTATACCTCCTACAACTTGTGTGGGGTATAATATTCATAAGATACATCTGTATCATCAATTCTCTGTTTCTCATGGTCAGAAGATGGTCCTGGAGACAGCATATGTATCTTTGATACTGATACTTATTTACAAATATACCACTAGACAATAACATTAATTTGGAGAACCAAGCAAGTTAACCAATGGCAAGGTAATCCCCATTCTGATGAGTCTTTCCAATCTTTTTGGTCATGAAAAAAAGACTATAATTGGTACTTAGTACTAATTTTAATGTTACAAACAGGAAATACAGAAAAAGTTCTGCCAAAATACTTCAATGCGAAAATTTTACATACTGACAAATCTTCTGAACAAACCATTCACAAAAGTCAACAAATACATGTACTACAATTAATTCCATCGAAGGTGGAAATGATTTCTGTCAGATTGACAAGCAAAACTCATTATTTACTACTAAGTTACCAAATACATCAAAAGCAAATTAAAGTTAAATCATGGCAAGATAAGATTACATGTTAATTAATAAAGCATATACCGTACATAATAAAGGTTTCAAAGTTCTACAGAAAAATCAGCACTGGTAAACACAATATTGTGTCTGGAGTCTGCAAGTTTAATACATTGACAGTGGATGTGTGAAAGACAAGGAAGGAACAAACAAACTAAAACATGTCATGTAACAAAAAAACAAAACACTATCCAATTCCCTGTTAAAGCTGACTAAAAGCTTGTGTCTTGCATGGCACTGGTGAACATTTCTACATACAAACCAAATTTCTTCATAAGATGTAAACATTAGAATTCCATTGTAATTGCCACCACATTCAGACACAGCTTTATTGGAATATGAACACAATTGATCATTGAACGAGTTAGTAGAGACAACACATTTAACAAGATAATATTGAACTTTTCAGCAAAAACATGCGTAGAATAATGATGGATCATGGAAGATCCAAATTTGTGATCTAGAATTAATTTTTAGATGCTTTCCTTACAATGAATTCTTTTAATATATAATGTACAGCAAAAATGAGTAAAGATGCATATTTCCAATCTTGAAAACTATCATAAGATAATACTTTTCTTTTAGATAAAGCAAATTAAATCAAAAGAAATTCTTGAGACTTTATAAAGCAGGAGACATGATGAATAAGGTGGGACTGCTATTTCATACTAAATAAGCCAATCAAGGAACTATATAATATATAAAGAAGTAGTAACATACATAAAAAATAATAAAACTTTATAATCAAAAAAAAATCCTACACTAAGCACTAGAAGACTACATTTCTTTTTCCAACACTGACAAGAGATTCTGTAATTTTATACTTCTGAAAATCAGGACAGATAAATTGAGCATCAGTAATATAATATTCTAAATAAAAAAAAAAAATTAAGTACAATTCCTACTGACTTCACATTTCTTTCATGATAAAATGTACACAAATCAAAAATTTCGAGCAATACATTTTCAGTCTGATGTCGTTACTTTCAAATATGAAAAATGCTGTTTAAAGATGGCTGGAGGTCACACAAATGTTGTACGAAAATGCTTCAAGGACAATGATTCACAAACCTTAACCAAAGATTCTAGCAATACACAATAACAGCATCACAATGCTTAAATACCTAAAGCTATAAAAGTATACTTGTTCATTTTATCTCTGAATAATACATAATAGGGTTCCCTCCCGAAAAGTAACATTGCAACATTGCACATCGAAAATTGAGGGAAATAAGAAAGAAGCTATTAATAGACTTTATGTTATAAATAATTAAAAATCTCTGTGGTCGTCCCAGTCCTGAAGAAATAATCTCACTGAAAATTGCCACTGGTAAATCATTGCAATTAGAGGTGTTTGGACATCATGAAGAAAAGGATAGGCAGCATTCCTATTGTTAAATAGCACCTGTACAACAAAAAATCAAGATTTCTTTTCTAAAATCAGTCTGACATAAGCCAGTCCCTACTATTTCACTTTGTCTCAGTCCCTACTATTTTATTTGTCCCAGCCCTACTATTTCACTTTGTTCGACGAAGTGAAATAGTAGCTAGGGGAGCTGGCTTTAGTCAGACAGTTCCAAAATGTGATTATTCATCTTATCCTCAGTTTCCCATTACTAGATTTAATTAAGCGAGTTATTTTCCCATGACCACAGACTGTACGTCAACATGTCAAGATTCCTTTATCATTATTCTACCAAACCAAAATACTGGGCACACGAGACATGAAGATACATGTAATAGTAATCTTCTTTTGAATATATGTGCGTTAAATTTTTTTTAATTTTTAAATTCAATTAATATTCCATAAATTTCAAGCCTACGTTTAAAATTGGTTGCTCAAAGAGTAAAATCCACTCTTTTGACCCATAGAATGGCGGCCAAGTACAGAGTGGCGGCCAAGGGGATCAACTCATAGGCAAATCTTGAAAACACATGGGAAAATCATCTTTTCTTTAGGGTTTAACCAATACACCAGCTCTTATTATTTGACATATAATGTTGCAAAGATGTTCAGTAATTATATTCTTTCTGGAATAAAATCTTCATTTTCAATTTGCACAAACTATACTTTTTGGTCACTTTTTCCCCCTTCATTTATTACCTGGGAAAGACTAAGGTTTCTTTATTCATCTTCGGATTTGCCCTGAAAAAATAATAAAGTAATTAGAAAAAATGTGATTTATGAACAATATAATATACTGACATTTGCAACCAAAGGTACTTAATTTAAAACTGTTTATGTCTTAATTAAAATATTTTTTAAATATTATAACATCAGCATTTGTAATAGGACTGCAAGTCATAAAATAAGATTAAAGAAACATAATAACACACTAAAATCTAAAGGATAAACCTGAAAAAAAATGTTTTATTAGTAACGGTTCGCATCCATACTAGTAAATGAAAAGTTGTGTAAAACTTCAAACAATAACAAAACTAACAATATTAACTATGTATCATTCATACATCAGCATTCTTAACAATCATAATGAAATACAACAAAAACACAATTTCTGGCATGTCACTTTATTGAAACCAAAAAACAAAACTTGATCAACAAGTGTATACAAGCTTACAACAACAGAAGTTCAAGCAATTGAAACAGGGGGTGTCTGGAATCTGAAAATTCACACACAGTTAGTGTCAGTAAGGTACAGGATTTCAACACAAAGTAAATGGGTAAAATCAATTCCATATATTATACAGCAACATAAACAGTATTAGTCAAATTGGTTATACATGTATTATATTAACAGTAGATATTGCTTAAAATAAGATTTGACTTAATTAAGAAACTAAAGATTAATATCAGTGTTAGACAATAAAATAAAAGAACAATTCTTAGTGTTGAACAATAAAAATGAACAAAATACAACTGCTCATAAAACTTCAAATAAGATTCAATGCCACGATAAACTGAATATCTCGAGTAATGTTAGTAAATTGTCAGTACATATACAGTCAGGAAAATAACTCTGCTCCTCAGAATACTAAATGAAGTGTTAGAATTACTTAGGAAAAGAGCAATATACCGGTACATGTAGTATACTGTAATCAGAGCAAGGATTCATTAGAACAATTTCACTTGCAACACTACCTTCCATCTTCAGTCTGGTCAGATTCCAATTTCTGTTTTTCATTCTTTTTACATGCTTATAGAGTTTCAAAGCTGTCATATATTATATGCATGTACATTTTAGTCAGGTTAGATTTTGCACATCATCATTCATCACAAACTCACAATGCCTGTCTATGCTCATTTACTGTATATTAATTATCATCTGTGAAGTCAGTACCTGGTAGTTCAACATGCTTATGATTTTTTTAGTTCTGTGTTACATCTATGTTGAAATAGGAATTCAAGCCTCTTCATTAATTATATTGTCAGTTTTTACATACTGTCATTCTTCTTACCTGTTTCTGAATAATAACTACTACTTCTGCATTATATGTACAAGGAGCTTATAGGAATTCATGCCTTTTCATCCTCTATTCGTACATTTCCCTGGTCACTTGATGCTACTTTAAGTATCTTGGTTACACATGCTTGTTCTTGACCTCTGGCTACACTACACACTCGAGAACACAACCTCATGCAGTTATTACCTAATCATCAGCCATCTCACGCCTACGTCTTCTCCTCCTCTCCGCAGCACTCTCTACCTCTGTGGAATCTGCGTCTTCCTTGGCCTTCCTCTCCTCGCGGCGTCTGCGGCGGCGTTCCTCCAGACTGTCCTCGGCCGGTTCTGAGGCTGTCTCGGCAGCTTCCTTTGCCTCTCTTTCTTTCCTCCTCCTCCTTCTTCTGGCCTCCATTGAGTCATCATCTTCATCTTCCTCCTGAGCTGCCTTTGTTTCTGGCACCGGGCTTGGTTCCTTTGGCTCCTCCACAACTGCTGGTTTCTTCTTCTTACCAATATCATCATCATCTTTACCAATCTGTGCCCAAAAATCTACTTCTTCTTCCTTCTCCTCAGTTTTTGCCTCCTCTTTCACTTCTTCTTTGGGTGGTTCCTCTTCCTTGACTGGCTCTTGCTCCTCTTTGGCTGGTTCCTCCTCCTTGACAGGTTCTGGCTCTTTGACTGGTTCCTCTTCCTTGACTGGTTCCTCTACCTTGACTGGTTCTGGTTCCTCTTTAGCTGGTTCCTCTTCCTTTACTGGTTCATCCTCTTTAGTTTCTTTGACATCCTTTTAAATGCATAAAAAATCTTTAAATACTGGACAATGATTTAGGTCACTGATACTTCTACACAATACTTTTAGAATTTGCCTCTAATCTGATTGAAAACCCAAATAAAATGTTATTTTGGCCCACTAAATCACAAAATAAATAGAACCTTGAGGAACTTTATATCTTACATCAGGTTGAGAAACTGCCTCCTCTTTTTCCTGGCGGGTGAAAATTAAGTCAATGACATCAGAAAAATAGTACCTTTACAAAGGCTACCATAAATTGAAATAATTGCATTTCCAATTTTCAGATTTTAATTTTAAGAAACTGTTTAATTGCCACAACTTGGATTTTGGAAAAAGACATCTGTATACTCTGACAATCTAAATCCACACAGATTCAACTCTACTAGACATTTATCAAATAAAAGAGACACATAGAAATCACACCATGCCACTTACGACAACCTGTCTTCATCAGAACTGCTGGCTTAGTTGCCTACCATTACAGAAGGAATTTTTTTCCCCATTTTTGATTATGAACAAATGTAAATCATACAAACAAAATCAGTACTGATTAGTACACAAACTGTACAAATTTACTATACCATTCTTCACTTAATATACACAGAAACGTAACATATAAATCAAAGCAAAAGTCCTACATTAACACTCAATGCATTCCCAATCTGAGCTACAATTTCAACTTCCTATTTTGTCAGTCATTGTTTTATTGAACTTCACTTCATGCATGCCATTCAAAGGCACAAGTACATGCAACCCTCTTACACTAAAAAGGAGATTCTTAAACCAGAACTTCAATATGTACCTCTCTTAATAAATAATAATGTTTTTATTCATGTCATCAGTCACTTACATTATCTTCTGTTATTATAAGTGCTCCAGTTTCCTGTCAACAGTTTTAAAATGTTCACTGAACACAAATACAATGTAACAAAGTCAAAATAACAAGCATTATCCACTAAGAATTTAAATTACTTCCTTTATTCAGTACAACACAATCCTTCTCATCTTTCTTTTTTTGTTTTCATCTGCCTTTAACTTTCACCCCCACACCCACCCACCCCCCTTAAAGGGAGTAAACAATAGTTTTACTATGAGTAACAGAACCTATAGATTCCCCAGTATGAATACTAGCCTAATCACTTACTTCAGATTTCTCCTCTACAGATGTTTCCTGTAACAAGCAACATATCCAATCATCAGCGAGACTGATAATATAAGTATTTCTCTTTAAACAATCTTCCTCCCCTTTTTTTACTCAAACACTACCAGCAACTATCATTAGGTTTACTTTGCTTTATTATGTGTACTCCTATCTGAAATCAAATAATTTTGGCTAACCCTTTCTTTACAGTTTTCTGAAAACTGATACCGTTATTTTTTTTTTTTTTTTTTACATCAAAGTTACGGACACCTTAATCATGCCTACTATAGTGTCTTGCTACCAAAACATTTCACCCCAAATCAGTCCACTTACTTCAGAAGGTGCTGCATCTTGCTTTGTTTCCTAGTACAGTAAAACACAAAGCAAATTATTCATGCTGTCCAACATCAAGTTTTCTAAGCTTCACTGACTTTGCAAATGCCAAAAAAACCCCCCAAAAACAAGCATTTACTTGTTTTCGGAAATTAACTTCACAATTTAAAAATAATCTCCAAAACTGGCATGCCACTTACAGCTGTTTCTTCTTTGTCTACCTCCTCAGTTTCCTATCATAAAATGTTAACCTTGTAACTCAATACATGCAGCTTAGCTTGCAGCTCAACTTTTATTCACAACTTTGTAACTTAATTTCCAGTTTACAAAAAAGCTGGATAAAATCCAACAAACTTACAACATCATCCAAGACAAGAACAGCCTCTGCGTCCGTTTCTTTGCCATCCTAAAAATCAGCGACCAATAATCATGCCATGTGTGACCAAGCTATATAGCAAACAGCAGTTAATAACACTATTAAATAAATCAAATATCAAGACCTTGTTCACTTACATCAGTTGCCACAACAACAGTTTCTTCTGCAGCCTGGTCACTTTCCTAGCATAGGTACAATATTCATGTATTTCAAATGGAATAAGACTACAAACAGCGACATAGCTCTACTTGAGCATGGTTAAAATATACATTTACAATACTGCATTACATGTAGCTAGAAAGTTTACAACCACTAACTTCAGTTAGCAATTTCTATTTTTCGTTCAACTAAAACCAATGACCTGTAGGACATAACTTACTTCTGTCTTGACCTCTGATTTTTCTCCCTACAACAACAAATCAATGACCACTTTACAGTATAACCTGTACAACTATTAATCCCTACTGGTATATCTCATAAAGAAAGCACTAAATAACTAGCCATTCCCTGAGCAGTAGGAACCACACACCATGCTACTTACAGGAGGTGGCACCTCTGTAGCAGATTGGTCCGTTTCCTGCCAACAACAGACACAGAGAAATATAACTATCATTTTACTTTACAGCCATACATGTATATACACGGACAAGTTAGATGACTCACACTATGTAGACTCCACTAAACTTCAAAGATTTTTAGAAACATCTAGACACAACTCACATGCAAGCCAACTTACATCAGCATCAGTAGTTTCAGTCTCTTTTATATCCTGACAACAAATACATGTGTATGGTGTACAATCTTCATCAAATCTAATACATCATTTACCAACTGCATTGCAAATTACATCTCCTAGTTTTTTCCCCTCTTCTTAAAAATCTCATGAATACGAAAAATTTTCCACACAAAAATTTCTCAAGTTAGTTAAAATTTCCTTTGAATCACTTTAGGTTCATAAAAGTGAGTAATTGATTTCTTTTTTTTTTTAAACCTACAGAATTTACCTTTGTTTCCTCTGCATCTTTGTCCAATGGTTTCTCCTGTGAGAAGATAAATACAAAATCAACAAGGAAACATTAATGCTGAAGCTGTATCCTTTAGAATTCTTGTGAAAAGAGATTTTTATGTTGATTTTCCAAATAATATCTTTGCTGATCAGATCATGCTGTTAGTTCACAAAAACTTTCCTGGTGTATAATCTTCTAGTACAGTGTATCTATATGTGTCTCACTTGTGTAGCATTTTTTTTAAGCTCAATTATGGAATGTTAGATTCTGGTACTAGGGTATTTAGAGGGACACCCCATGCTCAAGTAAGAAAAGGTTTCCTCCAGCAAGTGATTATTACTCACTTCTTTCTGACTACATATAAATAGAAGACTGTGTACAGGTAAAAGTGACCAATTACTTCCTTTTTACAGTGGTTTGTCACAAACATTGTGTTCTCTGGGAGATCGATCTGACTTCTGACATACAATGTAGAAACATCACACCATGCAAGGAGTTCTGATTTCTCTATGGCAGCAAAAAAGTGGTTTGAGGTAGAAAATCTCTTTGAATTCTACACTGCAATTTCACAAAAGGAACATTTCACATTCAAAGAGTAAAACTCAAGTTTCTAATTTCACTCAGTGTTGCAGTTCTTCAAGAAAGACTGTAGAGGGATTTTCTTCACACCATGCTACTAAAGGAGGTGTGGATCAAATTTCTTTCACTACAGTTGCAATGTGGATGACATTGATAAACCCACTCCATGCACATTTCTATTAAAAGAGGGAGTGGATCAAAGTTCTTCTGTTATGGCAATGGGACATCATCCCCTCAACCCATGCCTGCTATACCTCCTCTTCTTTCCTTGCTTCCTCATTCTCTTCCTTTACATCTCCTCCTGCCTTCTCATCAGCACCCTCTGGTGGTGACCCCTCCTCTTTTGAGTCACCCTCTGACCTTTCACCTTCCACCTTATCCTCTGATGGTACAGCCTCTTTTTCACTTGTCTCCTGATCAGCTTTCTCTCCTGTTTCTGCTTTTTCCTCCTCATTTTTCTTTGCATCTTCAGCAGCAACATCCTCAATCAAAACAGCTTTTTCCTACAGTTTATCATTCATCACAAACTATTAACCATTTAAATGATAAATGTGTACTTTAATGTTTAAGCTTTTCCCCCATCCTACTACAATTTTGGATATTCTAGTTCTTTATATACAAGCATTTGAAATAATACTGTTAGTAAAATGCAAAATTTCCAATTATTAAAAAAATATCAAAATACTTAAGTATATATAAACTCCTGTAAAACTTTTTAACTAACTGCACATCTCTTCCACCAATCACACCCAATGGATTAAAACTGTACTACCGGTATATACTAATTTTGGTACACTTTTTTTTTAACTTAACAAAATTAAAAATTAAAATAGTAAGTGTTTTTAAATTTTACAGCATCTTGTTCTAAGTGACAGTTTCAAAACAACTGAACGAGTAAGGACATAATAACTAACAAGTGATCATCAGAATCGTGATTGGTGGACGAGAAGACCTATGAACTCTACAGGTCATGCCCATGCTCCAATACCTCATCCTCCTTCTCTCTTTCATCCTGTATAAACACAATATCAAGTTATCACCCAGGGGTTTTTTGTTCCCAAACAATATTGATTTATCATCCAAGTTCTTTGCATTGACAATATAAATCCAGCACCAGATTTTAGGTATACATTTACAATATCTTATAATTAGAATACTTTTTCAGAAATTTTCATTTGAATCCATCAACCTTTCTTTTAACGCATTTCTGTTCATTCCATATTCATATAACGTCCTAAATTCTCTTGAAATAAACGAATGATAATACACTAACAGTTAATGTGATAATGCAAAGGGAATAAATTGGTGACAAACTGCTGCAAAGTAACTCTTAGTTTAGTAATAAATAATCAGTCATTTATTTTTATGAGTGCATACTGCATATATAGTTTTAAATATGAGCAAAACTTATTTTTAGTGTAATTATACGAGGCAGTCTGTTCAAGAAAAATTCATGATGAGTAATTGTAAAGTTGCTTGTGCTAAATGCCTTTTCTTCTTGAAAAATAAATACCTTCAGAGCTTCTAAAATGTGTTGAAAGCTCTAAAGCTAACTCAAGAGAATAAGAGCTTGATGAGTATGCACTTATAAAAGAAATGACTTCTGAACTTTGAACTCCATGCCCATGCTGGTATACCTCATCTTTCTTTTCTTCTTCTTCCTGATAAACATGGGAGACCAAGACATTTTTAGAGTCTTAACTATAATAATGGTATCCTTATCTCTAACTTATTAGCAAAAAATATTTTTTTATCATCTTAATACATGTTAGATGACTTGGAACCACAGCCACCATTGTAAGAATGTGTTGATTATGTAATACAGAACCAATCATAAGGACTGCTGGAAACATTCATTTTATAAATTGATGTGAATATTTACCCCTGTCACTGTAACAGATGCCTGAGAGACTTCCTTTGGTGGTGCAAGTTTAAGGAATTCATATAACTGATTATCTTCTAAGGCCTCCGAAAATTTATCAAAATCCTGCAATAGCAAAGTAAAAAGAAATTTTTATACACAGTTTTACTCCACGATTTCAGCAATTTGAATAAGAGGACCGGTAAGAAATGTATATAATGCTTCCTTCCCCAGAACGGCCAATATATCAATAGATATAGTTGGTTGAAGAAAGAACATGACCATTTAGACCTCTAATGTGGTGGCCAATGGGAAATAACTCTTGCTATATTCAGACCTATGGAAAACTCTCTATAATATTTATAGCTGGACAGCATTATTTACCTGTATACCTAATGACACAACTTACCCCGCAGTAATCGTCATTGTTAAACACCTGGGGTGGGAGGGGCACCTTGCCTTCTGAAGGGGGCATACTATTAGCCCTCATAAACTTTTTCTCCTCCTCCTTCGTGGGATCGGATATGTCTATTGCTTCAAACTCTATCTTCAAACTTTCTAAGGTCTGCAGCAATTCTCTCTGTTTTTTCTTGATCTGAAATATCATTAGATTAATATATGCTAAAATGCAAAAGAAACACAACAAACAGTAATCTACAAATATTTGAATTTTTTATCTAATAATTTTCAAAATTGAATACAATAAGGCTAATGATAAAATCTTACTTTTCAAAACATCAGAGATTTGATAAAAGTGTTAAATGATTATATTATAACTTTAGAAAGTAACACATTTATACTAATTATACTGTTGAAAACACCCCTCTCCCAGCCATTCAAATAAAGGATGCAAGACTGCCCTACACAACGACTGCAGTTTAATTTCTACGATGTAATAGGTTCATCAATATTGAAATCTGAGCGAAAGAACTATTCTTTGCCATTTTTAAATGCCTTTTTCAGATGATTAGGTCGAATTTTCTCTAACCAAGCGCAGTGTAGAAACACTTGGACGTCCACGGAAAGTCATTAATGTATATGATAGGTAAGAGCCTGTGAAGGCATGATGTAGTAAATTTTTGCATCAGTAACTCTCCATCAGTGATCACCTTTATTTTGAGATTTTCCAGCTAGAGCAATAGAAATGTGTACTAAGGTCATTTTCAAGAATATAATCAATCCTTTGTAATAAGTTCTGTATTCAAAAATCAAAATAAACAGTGATAAATGAGAAATATTTGCACAAAATGTCATTTTTATCCATCTTTTTACTTCCATCATGTCTATAATGTTAATTCTGAAATTCAGCTGCCCACTTGAAACTTAAATTAGCACACTAACTAATTAGCAATTAGCAATATAGTGATTATTCTCAATTTTAACAATAGTGCTTGACTGATCAGGAAAATAAAAACACTTGCAAATGAGTGATTCTGGCAAACTCTTGGAAGCAAGACTAACCCTATCCAGTCGAAAAATGTGCAAGAAAAAGTTGACAAACCCTTGTCAGACTTTGATTGACGTAAAATTTTAGTTATGTCAAAGTAAAATTAGTGGGCATATCCTGGGATCAGTAAAATCTCCCCCTGCATTGGATACAATTTTAAGAGATTGACAAAATAATAAGGGCACAATTCAAGGATATCATAGCGAGCTCAATAGACTAACGTGTAAGAACAGAGGAAATTCGGATTGAAACCTGTACATACGTCAGCCAAATTTCTCTGTGCAACATTAAAATTCCTGCACTACCCAATGTCCTTTGCGCAAATAAATCAAAAATAGTAAAAAAAATAAAGGAACATTGTTTCTTACCGAAGTCTTAACGAAATGATTTTGCCTTGCCTTATTCAAAAAAATACCCCCATGCCACAACACTGGCCTTAATTACCTTGCCCTTCGGAAATGATAATATGATGTCACCGGAAACTTACGAATTTTGACGATATGCTTATTAAGTCATGTCGGTTGCTTCTGTGAAATAGATAAATAAATAAACAATAACGTAAAGCATAAAAAGCTTTCAGTTTGTAGAAATCTTTCAAAGAAACAAAAAATAACTCTGCAATGTTTTTCGACCAAAATTGTGCTAGGTCTATTGTTTAAACCAGACGCTCGGACGTTTCCGTAAGCTCCGACGAGCTTCGTGACGTTGTGTGACGTCACAGCTAGTCGAGATGTCTCGTGAGACTTGATGTTTGAAGTGGCTGATCAATTTTTCAAGTGTTTTGAGGGTACAACTGCGGTCGCCTCAACGGTCACACCGTAAAACATATTAATGAATTTAGGGCATCCAACGATACTTGTATCTTTTTCCTAAATAAAAATTTTTATTAGCATTTTAATAGCTTTATCAAGCTATTTTGAATAGCTAAATAAAGCTATATAAATATTTCAAGCTATAGCTTAATCAAGAGATTGTGGTGGACCTTTTATAATGTAATTCGCAGTTGGATACCTTGCTGTATTTGGGGAAAAACCTATTTATTAATACAGACACAAGTGCCACCGATACATTACTGTCGATTGCAAATGCAATGCTTAACATTTATTATTGATCAGATGTATTTGTTTACTTGTTAAAAACAAAGAATTTAAATGTTTCCTTCACAGGTGGGTGTGGCAATTCGAACTGTCAAATTTTGTAAACAAAGCAGAACACTTACATCAGTACTGCTAGAAATGTTTGTAATAAACACTCGGATTCCCATTCTGCTAAAAATCTGGAAAGAAGAAACGAAATTGTGCGATGTTCAAGCTGCAAGCAAACTTGCATACGATAAATAGTTGCAGATGTTTCCCGATTTAGATGGATTGGTAGGGATTTCTCTGTATTTTGATACTCTTTCCGGGTCAGATTTCACACACACTTTGCAACGTCATTCCTTTTCCGGTGCACAATTTCTGTGACGTCGACTAAATTCCACACATCCGTTTTTCTTGTTGCTGGGCAGGTAAACAAATGTCACACCGGTTCACGCATATTTTCTTACCATGTCGTAAAGCAGACACATGTTTATGAGCGATGCAATGGATTGAATGACAGAACACCTGTTCGACAATTTTAATGGTAACAATTATGCTTCAGAAATGCACTTTACAGCAAAAAAGTTATCATAGCTTGAAATTTTTCAATACTAGATATTGTAGTCTTGACATTTTAAGTTCTGTGTGCATATTCCTTATATATAAGCCAGTCTGTTTTTAAATATAAGTTGTGATTATACCTCTTACACTTATGGCATCGTTATAAGTGCAGATAATCTAAGATTAATTAATTACTAATGTGTTAAATATATATTTCAAAGACATTTCATTTTTTATTATATGGTAGTTGTAAGGACTTTAGCTCACAAGTTTGTCAATGAAAGCATGTGTATGATTGATTTTATATAATATGTAGGCCTACAACTTATCTAACAGAAAAACAGTGATTCAAAAAAAGTATACGTTTTTATCTCGGTGTATAATCATAATTAAGGGTAATAGCCCTTTCATGATAATTGTGGTCCTACTCTTTGCAGGGCAAATTATTAATGTTTGGCAAAGATTTTGTTGATAGATAATTAATTACAGTATTTAAACAATCGATTTTACATCTTATTTTCACCAAAATATATATCATTTTGCCCTGCAAAAGAGTTGAACAGCATGCACAATTATCGTTAAAGGACCATTACTTTATTTTAAAGGCAACAGAGCAAAATCTTCAAAATATAAATGATTTACTGTGGCAATTGGATATTTTTTTTTTGGTTCATTGTCAAAATATTATTCCTAAAGTTCAAGGGTATACATGTAATCATAGTCGTACCTCTCACATTTTCTCTATGAAGTGTTCATGCTCTCTTGATTATATCCCTTGTAACTTTAGCCTAAATATACAGTGCATATAGATTTATTGAGAACATCGTTTTCTTAATTTCAAGAAAATGCCAATGTATTGAGAGAAATAGACAAATGCAGGGGACCAGGATTCTAACCAAGGCCCCCTGCATCTCCAGTCAGGTGCTCTACCAATTGACCTATCTGGCCACTGGCAATTTAATCTGTATATATATATATATATATATATATATATATATATATATATATATATATATATATATATATATATATATATATATATAATTTAATATATATAAATAGCCACCTGATGGAGACAGATAGAGATTGAAAAATCTTATGATTGATATGTTGAGACAGAAGAATTTTTTAGCTGAACTGTCTTGGAAAGCATATAAATTTTGAAAATGAAACTGTTAATTCTATATTATGTATATTGCTTCTAAAGATGCTTGCAATATACATGCATGTATTCAAGGTTTTGTTGTTTTTTTCCTGTCCCAGCTTTGGGTTCACAGAGTCTTTAGGCTATTTTTTAAAAAAAATGTAAAAGCTGTACCAGTGTTCTTGTTTCATTATCATGCAGCAATGAGTTTTCCTATTTTCTGTGTTATTTTACAGATCAGTGTTATGTTGGTTAACTGAAGAGGAGAAAATGTCGGACTATGATTACAGCGATTCCTTTATCAGCGACGAGGATGATGCCCCAAGAGCAACCAAAAGTACGGGGGGCAGGAACTTCAGGAAGTACAAACCAGGTAAAAATATACATAGTGTCAGTAATAGTATATAGCAGGGGGCAGGAACTTTAGGAAGTATAAGCCAGGTAAAAATATACATAGTGTTTTTATAAAGCATTCATACAGGGGGCAGGAACTTTGGGAAGTTTAAACCAGGTAAAATATACATATAAACAGTCAGTAATGAGTATATACTGTAGAAGCACACATTTTCATGGAGATCAGATTTTGTTCATTTGTCATCTAAAAAGGTTTCTTCTGCATTAAATTTCATTGTTTCAAAATTAAGTTACTCGATACACTCAACTTTATGAGTGTGTTGGTGATACAGGCCGTTGGATAAACTTATGCTTTATCAACGGGTAGATGCTTTATCAATAGCACTTCCGGTTTTGACACGATCCCTCGCTTCAAAATTTTATTTGAAACTTTTATTTGTGATCCCTATTATTGCCCTAATAAAATGAATGGTAAAGAGCGATAATATCGTTAAAAGCCAGAAAAAGACTCGTATATGTCAAAGAAATGTCTTAATCATTTTATCAAGGAACCTGTATTGGCTACTTGAAGACATATGTTACCCCCCCCCCCCCCCCTTTTAAATCGTTTTCGGAGAAAGTAAAGGCTTGCAGTTAAGTTGTTGTTATAAGATTCCTTTAACATCTTCAATAAGACTTTCTTATATTACCCGGTATACTACGTATGCCTACCTAGTAATGTAGGTGTAACTTACCATGGATCAACAATGAATCTACAAGTAGGCCCCTAGCCTTGCCTATCACGTTTTGTACTGCCATCGTCCAAAGAGTTCATTTTCATGATCCAATGGTCCTTACAACTTTCAGTCAGAAGTCTGTTTGATGTAAAGCTCCAGCAATTGTCACATAATGTTTTCAAAGATGCAGATAGCAAAAATTTTAAATTATGAATCCGATCTACTTTCTTTTGAGGTATGTCAACATCAACGGTGCTACGTCATCAAGTTATACGTCATCAATTTGAATTACCAATCATTCATGTAGTTTGGCAGGGGAAGTCTCAAAGTTTTGTTAAAACGAAAGTCCTTTGAGATAAAGAGAACATCTATAATTGTGTGATTTGATATTGGCTTTATCCAACTCGCCTCGCGAATATATACACCATTTCAACTCGTTGGATAAAGCCAATATCAAATCACACAATATAGATATCCTCTATATACCCTTGTGATGAAGGATTTTTTGACATTTTAAGAATAATTTCTTTGTTCATAGCAGAATAAAATCATTCAGGTTAATAATAAAAATGTCTAGACGCTTATGTATGATATGTAAAGACGAGGAAGTACGTATTTAAAGTTTCTGTACTTTTTTGTTGTTGTTAAAACTCGTTTAAAATAACATTTTTTTGTTGTAAATTTAACACTTGCAGTCGTAACCACTCTACTGTTTAGGTTAATATTTTTTGTAAGTAATTTATTTTCTAGCTTTTGCACTTATATCAGATTTGAACAAAAGTAGAAAGAAAGAAATTTGAATTTAAATCTTAAGAATGATCACAATATACAAGATGAATTTTTCATCTATATCATTTATGTTATTATTGTTAACCATTTAAAATTCAGACAAATAGGATTAAAATCATTTTCTTCAATCAATATTCAATTGTATGAACATAAATAAGTGAAGTTCCTTTTGAAAGATTGTTGTCATAAAAATATTAAAATTTAAACTTCTAAGTGGCATAAATAGAATTATCAAAGTCCAGATAATTCAGATTAATCAAAACAATCAAATCTTAAATCTTTTATGTAAATACTCATCTATTCTCTAAGTTTGTCCTAATTGTTAGATTGTTTTTTTTCTTATTAGTTGAAATGATTTATTTAAAATTAGTTCAGTAATGAATATTATACCTAGCTTCTGTAGTTTCAAGTGAACAAGTTTTATAAACTTTCCGTTACACCCTTTCCTCTCCACTAACTTATTAAAAAAAAAAAAAGTACAAAATTAGAAGCATGTATTTGTAAAGAATAAGTTATCAAAAACATCCATCTTTTAATAATTGAAATAAAACTATTGTCATCACCACTGTTAGCACTGCCATTTATTGAGTATAGAGTAAATCAGTAGTTCTGATAAGGGGCAGATAAACTGTGAGATTTTTGTTTATATCCATTAGCCCATTGACCTTATGTTTTAGCAATTACCTGTGTGTAATGTACAATTTTTTCGGTCAATTTAAAAAGCCCATTGTCTTGTTTATTTAGTGTGGGTACAGACACAATGATTGCAGTGGGGCATTACGCATTTCTCCTTATAACTATGTTTATGGCTTTCTTAAGACAATGCAAAAATCGATCAATAGTGGCTTCTCGTTAAACAAAAGATTTGTAATTTATTTTTAATGGCAATTTTTTTTAAACCTGCAAATGGTGCTGCAGCCAGTTTGATTGGATACGCTTTTTACTATGTAATATGGCACATTAATTGGGATACGCTTTTTACTCCATGTTTCATGTGTGATATGGTACATCTGTTAATGAATTTGACATACATTCCAAACAGTTGACATTTGTGGATGATCTCACTAATTTCATTGGTTGTAGTTTATAGATATTGAGTACATTGTGTTCCAGCAGTGTGTAGTCTCATTGGAAAATAGATGCAAAGAAATCCGAGTGTTAATTAAAACTCAAGGATTTAAAAAAAAACTTTTTATCATTTTGTTCAGCAAATGAAATTTTAAAAATGGCATTACATGTACTTTCAAGAGGAGATAGTTTACCAAACAGTAAGTAATTTAATGTTTATAGGGGTATTGTGACTGCAGCATTTTTTTAAAATCTAAATAAAAATGTCAATTATGTCTATATTTACGTCATGTTTTCAGATTCCAAGAGTCAAACATTTACTGAAGTCTACTATCCTAAAAAGAAAGGTGAAACTAGACTTAACAAGCTTACAATGTGGTGTGGCCTTTATGCTTGAATATGTATACCCATTTAAAGCTATGTTTTCTAAAAAACTTACTTATGCCAAAACATTATCCATTACACCTGTAGATATGAGTATGAGGAGGAATGCCTATAAGACATGTTTGAGTAACCTGTTTATATGAATCACATGGAGTTGCATGCTGTCAGTATACACTGTCACTCAGATCACCAAATGCATGCCTCTGTAGTCCTTATTGAATAACTCTGGTTAAATGGGTTAGATTATCGTTACATACCACATAAGTTTTAGGCCATAACATTTTAGATTATAAGGGATTTGAAATTATCAGTTTTCCTCTCTGGCTTTCTTCCTTCCATAGCCATTGAAAAGAATTTCCTGATATCTAAGTACAACTGTTAAGACTACTTGATATCTTAAAGTCTGTACCGTTTTCAGATGGGTCCCTTGATCTTTCTTATCCTATTTCCTCATTGTACTTTGTAGGTAGCATGCTACATCTTATGTTTTTCACCTGACCCTAGATACCAATCGATCCTTTCCTATCCAAGCTTGTACATTGATCCTCTGAGATTCTTGGTCTACCTGTCTGTCTGTAAAAACTGCTTGCAAAAATCAAAAAAACTAAGGGTACAATTCTTATTTAAGATTGTCCTGCATTGATGTTTTTTAAAAGGAAAAGCTGCTTGTATTGACTGCTTTAACTCCTGGCTGGTTGAGACAGTGTTGACTTTTTTACCAGAAGAACTTGACTTGTGGCTTGCCATCAAATCTGGGTCCATTATGCCTTAAAAAGTTTTAATATTACGAAGTTTGATTATATCTTAATTTGGTACAGAGATAAGTTGAGACAACCTAATGATTTGTCCTAAGGAATCCTCATCATAAACTAGAACCCTTTTTACTGAGTTGGCTAAAAAAGTGTCCTCTTGTAATTGCATGTAAGGAGCAAGGACACAGGGCAATAACATTTCTTGATTGACATTCAGAAATCCTCAAGGTCATCTTTGGGCCTCTATGGTAGAATACACTGTCCCTTTCTCTCAGTATCTAAATTTCAGAGTGTAAACACAATTAATCAATATTTACAAACAATCAATGTGTAATTTTACCAACCACTCAAAGCAGTATTAGTAAACATCTATTCTTTCATGGAATATATTAAAGAATGGAAGAGTTTATATTGGAAGAGGACATAACAGTTTTTGTTTATTTTTGTTGACAATTACATCGTTGAGTATGTCTTCTACTCAATGGCTTGTTTTGTGCTTAAGCCTTTTTACTTTCTTGACTATATTTAGAAGCTAAATCATATTTATGATTCCCTTTTAAAGGCTGGCTTCAGATGCCAAATTAAAATTTCTTGTGAAAGTGACATAAATTTGTTAGAATTTTAGTAATATTAGCCCTATGTTGTGCAAAAGCTGATTTTTCATACTAATGGACTTTCCATTGAATGTCAACATTTTGATAATGGACCAGGTAAAAGTTATGGGTGCATCTATCACCAAGAAACTTAGGCTTAAATAAAGAACTTGAACAAAGGAGAAAACTCTTCTGCTTCAGATGCTGGATTTTGGCACATTTTTGTGATTAAGAATGTTTGCATGTACATCATTTTCAAAGAGATCCAGGAAGTATTTTATCTTGGTCACTGTACTCTTTGTTGAATATTGCAATTGACTGAGAGTTATTTTCATATAGTCTTTACTTCTAAGAAAGAAAGAATGGAAAAAAAGGCCACTCAAATTAATGCATTTTCAATCGGATGAAATAGGTTAGCATTGTGGCCCAAGACATCCATGTTTTTCGTTGAGTTGCCTTTCATTCATTGTCATGTTTTTGTACCTTTGACCATTAGAGCTATACATTTATCTATGAGTACATTGTATGCTGGTAGATTTCATATAAAAAATAATTTTGTTTATTTTGGGTATGGAGTTTTTTTTTAATAAACAATAATCACTAAGAGATATGAAGAATTATAAATTATCCCTAACTTGTAATTTGTGGTGTCATTGTGTATCTTAAAATAATTAATGTGTGATAATAAATATACTTTTTTTTTTTTTTTTTTTTATTTGCATGTAACAGATTAGCATGATAATGGTGATGTGTGTAAGGATGCAGTCTAAGAAATATAGTAGGACGAATGAAAGACTAGTCTAAATTTTGATTCTTTGAATTAATGTATAACATCTACTCTTGTTTTAAATATGAAATTTATTAATAATAAAAATTGTAATTATATAGGTATGGTTTAATCTTTTTTTACTATTCTGCCATTAACCGGTCATTTTCTATTTTTAGTTGGTGGACACAGGGGCGGCCGAGGCCGGGGTGGCAGAAATACTATGGGCCGAACATCAGTGGCCAACTCCGAACCCAAAATGGACGGCGTTGTTCAGAGAATGATGTCTGCCAAAAACCTAAAACTGAACGAACTCAGGAACCAGATCGAGGACATGCAGACAGCATTCCGGGACCTCAAAGAGGAGAACAAGCTCCTCAAGAAAATGCAGCACCGACAAGAGAAGGCCCTCGTAAAGTACGAGGAAACCGAGGGCGAGCTTCCACAGATCATTGCCAGGCACCAAAACGAGGTGCGAACGCTGAAGGAGAACTTACGTAAAACACGGGAGAAATACGAAAGGACGGATCGCTACCTCAGGGATGCCGAGGATGAACTTGACAAGGTCAAGGGCAAGTTAAAGCGGTACAAGTCTCTGGCCGACCAAAATAATCTGAAGGAGAGGGACGAGCTTCAGAAGGAGAACCAGAGGCTGCAGATAGAACTGGAGGAGAAGGAAATCAGGGTCAAGGTAAGGAAAAAAAGGTGTAAACAAAGGTGTATAAAAAGATAAAGAAACAAAGGTGTATGCAGGTAAAATACTGATATCAGGGAAACAAAGATGTATACAGGGAAAAAAAAAGATATCAGGGTAAACATAGTTGTATACAGGAAAATACAGATATCAGGGGAAACAAATGTGTTTACAGGGAAAATACAGATATCAGGGGTAACAAAGGTGTATACAGGGAAAATACAGATATCAAAGGAAACACAAGTTTATACAAAGAAAATACTGATATCAGGGGTAACAAGGTTGTTTACATGGAATATACAGATTTCAGGGGTGGTAAGGGTACTAAAAGATATACCGTAAATCTGGAAACTTTTGCTGTAGATAAATTTTTAGCAAATTTGCGAGTACATTGCATTCGCAAAAATATTTTTCTTAAAAATAAATCACCGATAAGAAAATATAAACAAAGCAGTGGTCATTCGCAAAATTTTGAAACGTAAAAATTAATCAACAACATATTGACCCGAATTCGCAAAATAAAATTGACGTAAAAATTTCCAGATTTACGGTATGTAGAAATGTGCACAGAATTTTTAAAAAAAAAGTATTAGATGTGCTGATGTTGGTCTTTTATATAAATATGACAGGAAATGATACTTTGCTTGTAATAGATCTTAGTCTCCCAAATTATAACAATTTTTAGGCGCTTCTAAAGTTGGTAAAATCTAACGTGAAAGGGGTAGTTTTGTCAAAACTGCAGAAAATTATTTTTACAGCACTGGTTTTCTGAGGTTATTGAAGTTTAAGAACAAAACATATAAACACTTTTAAAAAGTGTTGGGAAAATATACATGCACCATTGAGTTATATTTTTTAAATGACAAAGTCATTTTTATATTTCAAGACTTCTGATGAAAATTTAATCTCCTTTATAGGATATTTTTTCTTCACTGGAGGTGATGATTCCTAGAAAAGTACAGGAAAAAATTGAAATTTTAACTATCACATGTATCTAATAGGTATTAAACCATTAGTTAGAATTGCACTTTAAATACAAACTTTTGAAAATACATGTATAGTGTGTGTGGTAAGATTGCTGTAGACAGATTGAATTGCACTGACCTAAAACTGCTGATTTAGTTATTAACATTGATAAGGTATAAAACATTCAACATTGTCTCAATCACAAGATGAAAATGTTACATGTACTTGTCTACTGGATATATATAGTCTATGTTATAGATCTAGCTGTTTGTTAGCATAATGTGCAATTTGTTGTGAATTTCTATGTGGTCATTTATTGTTGAACTTTATAAATAAAGGGAGTTCACTTTACTTCATTCATTTTTTTAAACGAAATGATAAAAGAACGAGCAGCAGTTTTTATTCTCTCCTCTGTTTCTGTGGGTCTTTTTTACCTGCCAAACACTTGAATTCTGTCCTAAACTCATAAAATTTTAGGTTTATAAAAAGTTCAAGATCAATCGCATAATCAGGACTCTCTAAGGTCTAGGTCATATCTGATATTTAAAGTTCTACTGTAAATTGCAAGGATTATAATCAATCTTTGATTATATCAATTTCACAAACAAAATACCCACCGAAAAAACTGAGGAAACTGTATGTACATAAATGTATGTATTTATGCCGGGAATTTCAAGCAGGGTTAGGTTTCTGTGAGGCCACAAACTTAATAAATCCATTTTGTAAAAACAAGTGTTTTTTCCTCAATTGTGCTGAATGGAGCTGTAACTCTGATAGACAAAGCTTGTGTATTTTTGCAGGATCTGGAGAAACACATTGTAAATCTGAACAAAAATCACAGGCATGAGCTGGGGATAGAAATGGCCCGGAACCGAGACCTAACCAAGCAGATGGATAGCCTCCGAGATCAGAATAATCAGCTGGAAAAACTACTCAAGGTAATTAATAAGGCAACAGTCAAAAAAGTTAGTTAATATTTGGCTGATATGTTATTTATAGACAGGGGGATAGTATACTGTAAACGTATTACATTTAGCGGCTTGTATATTAACTTTAATAACTAGCAAATTCAGACAGCGCTAATTAAATCAAATCAACACTAACTTATTGAAAATTGAATTTTGGCCAAACATCGTACATGCCAAATGTAATACACTTACAGAATACCATCAATTCTATATGCTTAGTCAAAATTGGTCCTCCAACTTTAAAAAAAAAATTTCCTGTAGTAGTTTTATCATTGTTAATTTTAATATCACGGTGACATTTTATTCAGCCCTTATTGATTGTAATATTATACAAACAGGAGAAAGACAAAGAACTTCAGATCAAGAATATTTACGCTAACCGTTCCCGTGCCCCTCATCGGCTTCCGGCTTCCTATGGGGGAACCCCACACGACACACCCCCACCTAAAGCAAGAAAAAGGGCACCCTCACTGCAAGATCTGACCCCCAGGGAAAAGGTCAAGTTGTATGAGGAAAAAAGGAAAGAGGAGGAGAGAAAGCAGAAAGAGGTGGGTATTGTGTTATGAAGGGAGATAACTCTAATTGCTTTTTCTGTCATAGGAAAAGGAAAATGAGCATTGCTGATACATGTATTACTGAGGTATCTGAATGGGTGTAAAGAAGGTATAATATAGCTGGTATTTGGATATTTATTTAGGGTTATTTTAAGAATTGTAAAGTGAAGAAGACATCTTCAAATGATCTTTTAACATTTTGGGGGGTTATTTGAATACAATTAAAATGAATACAATACTGTAGATCAATTAATTTTTGCCACACCTTATTTTCGCGAGATAGCCAATGACTCCTGATTAGCAAGACAAAATTTTCACGAATTCTGGCCACTGCTCTATATAATCTTAAGGAATTCTATTATATGTGAGAATAAAATTTTCGCGAGCATACCGTCTCCCGTAATTACGCGAAAATAAAGTTCTCACAAATAAAAAGTGATTTACAGTAGTAAGAGAAAGAAATTTCTTTTTGAATCTGGAAAGACAATGGCAGAGTCACATGAATAAATTATAGTATATTTTGTAGTAGGTGAGGAAATGTATTTACTGCATGTATAGAGGTTTTGGTACTTACCGATATTATTTACTAACTGTGATATGTCTATAAGAAAAAAAAAAAAAAATCATAATAGAAATGATAAATGAGTTTTAAAAATATTGTGTATATTTTCCTCCCTAGTCAAGGAAAGGGCGAGGTGATGGTCCTAGGATGGCCTTTAGTGATAATATAGACAAACACAGCCGAGATACACAGAGGTCTTATGACTATGACACATACAATAGTTATAATAGTCCAGAAAAGGTATATAACTCCACCAGTACATGTCTACTCTGTGAGTGATCTCCCTTACACAAGCCTGGTTTGGTTTTTATCAATGTACGAGGGTCATTCAAAAAGTTCGTAGACTTTTGTCCTAACTTTTTTATTTAACGTCATATTATATCCAAATTTGGTACAAATATTTTAACAACAGATTCAAATAATTTGAGTAAAAAAATTGGAATGTATCCTCATATTTATTAAAATTACCAAGGATTTAGAACAGCAAAAATGGGGTCACGGAGCACCGTCAAAATTTAGAAATTTTCTAATTTTCACTTTATAGTATTTACAGCTATACCTCTAATAAATGGAACTGAATCGAAATAAAATTTACATGTTTAAATAAAGTATTGCTGTATTAATTAAAATGAAATCAGGTTATGTAATATCTCGTTTCATTTTAAAGATATCAGCTTCTAAATACATATAGACTTGATTAACAAAGGCAAAAAAAAACACATGATGTTGGAGGACGTCACGGAGCAGCAAGTAGCAATAAAATTAGACTTTACATTTGGGAAACTTTTTCTACAAGCTTAAAAAATCCTTATAAATCAGAATCTGTATAGAAAAAAATCTGCGTATTTGTATTTAGTTGAAAATACAATTTTTGAGTGGTTGTGAGTTTGAATCGGACGATAGATTGTCTGCAAAGAAACAGGTTAAAGTTAAAAATATTGTCAAAATAGTTAGGAACGTCATTGAACGTGATTTGTGCTTCAATGTTGCAGAAATAATAAAGTTGCATGGTAAATCAAAGAATTTGAAAACAATAACATTCTAATTCAAGCTATATTTGTACAATTGTTAGCAAACCAGGTGTTAAGTATTGTGGATTACTGTAAACCAACTTTTATTCGCGAGCGATAAATTTTCGCGAAGTTCGCGAGAGCGTCGTCATCGCGAATATTTCTCGCCGCGAACCGGTCCTTAAAATGTACTTGTCTATAAAACTGCAGATCCAAAAGGCTTGATCGTGAAAATTAATCGTCGCAAACTAGTTCATCCCTAGTAAATCGCGAAATAAAGTCGTCGCGAATAAAAGTTGGTTTACAGTATTGTTTTGAATTGAGAAGACGCAACAAACCGTGTTTGAAAGAACAAAAATGTGTATACTTTTGGCAAACTTTCTCAGCGTTGTTTTTGACGTTACAATATTGGTTAACCGTGCTCCGTGGTAACAAAACATGTTGCTTTTAATTTTGGCTAACGTGAGTTCTGTTTAATCAAATGGAATGAAACTTCACACTTCGACAAAATAAATGTTTATGTTTACGAAAATGTGTTGATCTATAATCTTGTAATAATCATATGACGATGAGAAGCATTGTCTACGTATTTTTTGAATGACCCTCGTACATTGTAGTCCTTACTTTTTCAACTTTTGGAAATTCCCAATCTTTTTTTTTTTTGTTGTTGTATTGTATTTCTGCTGAATTTTTAATAATTTGCAATATTTTCTGTTTATTTCTGCATGCACTTAAATTTTCAGTTCTTTTCTTCTAATTATGAATTAAGTTAACAGTACTTAATGATTACATAAGAGTTTGAAGAAATAAATTTACATGTAGACTACAATAATTCTGGTACAAATTTTGCAAATTAGAAAAACTAAATTGTAATCTTCACACACTCAGTCTACCCTGCACCATTGATTTCAAGTTTACCAAAAGCACACACAAATATTGAACAGTTTGAATGATCCTAAGTTCCTAACAGTCAGAATTACAGCTATCTCTATCTTCAACAACCCTACCAATTAACCAATGGTGCCACAACTTGGAAATGTCCCTTTACCACTGCATTGTCACTGAAGAGTATATTTTACTGTTTTTTTATATTGGAAATACTCAGATAAATTTTGTCGAAATATTTGGAATATATAAATTTTCCACACAGAACTCGCAGAGCAAGGGGTATTCTACCTCAACAGAATATGCCCCTGCCCCCACCTGGAGACGCCCTGCCCCTGGGGATCACGAGTACGAATCAGCCAAGGAAAATAAACCTCCCCTGCCCAGTACGGGTAGAAAACCGTTTGGCTTTAAATTCCCTGGTAGCACCGCTCGACCAGAGGTAACTTACGTGGCCGTTTGACTCTCAGGCTGCTGTGTATTTAAGAGTTCTTTATGATCTAACCATTACACATGTAGCTGTCTCAGTTGTGTTCACTTCTAACTTTAGGAGCTTGACATTACATTATCATGTAGAGTTTACATGTTTTTATGGAAGCATAACCCCCTGTTTTGCAATTAAACAGATTTGTTTTCATTTAGAATTGGTGTTGCTTATAGGGTTTTTCTAAAGATTTTATTTCAAATATTAAATCATTTTGTATACATGTACATGTACAATCAATCCATATTTAATTTATCTCAAACTTGATGGAACCACGGAAAAAATTCAAGGTGTTAGAAGTTTCAATATTTAAAAAAAGTAGAATTAACTTTAGAATAACATTAAGTGGTTGAGACTTTCAAATAACATTGATATACTGTAGAAGTACTTTTTTCCATGTGGTATTAATTTACCTATGTACGCTGTCACACATTTTCCGCGGAAATTTGTCCAAGCCTACTTAATATAAATGCAAGACATATAGTGACAGTCTGAGAAATCTGCATAATTTTCAACCCGGGGATTAAACGGTAATTGAGATTCTGCGAAATTATGACCCTGTGGAAAAAAGTATGTCTACAGTATCCATGGTATTCAAGATATCATGTTTGAGATACCAAAGTTCAACATGTAGGTTAAGCATTAAGCATTATATGATCTTTGAAACGTTACTGAAATCACTATTTAATCTTCTCTTTATATTGGTGAAGGCCATTCTAACATTTCTTGCTCTGAAAGATACATGTAAAATATCATCTAAGCATTTTATAAGAGCAAGCTCTGAATCACGAACAAAATTTTACTAAATTGAGAAAACAATTAACTTTCAAAGACATTAGTCTGAGGGTGTTAATTATTCTGCCATTAATCAGTATTCCGTCCTGTGTTTTGTCTGTTTGCTGTGGATGTGTGTGGATTTCATTCAAAGTCTGTGTCAATATCTCTTAATTACCACGATTTGGGTGTAGTTTTTCGTATTTGTTTTTTTTTTCTTCTGTAGAACTGTAGTTAAAATGTTTTTTTTTTTTTTAAAAAGTTCATCAATTTTCTATTCATTAGTTGTGTTTGAAAACTAAACGTTTGTCTTATGCACCATGCTGTGATGTGTAGCACGTACATTCCGTAACATGAAGAATCCAGTTGATTCATTGATTTTCTGATATCTTGTCTATGCATTATTGAACAGTGTGTGTGGGATTAATATATCTTAATTGTTCTAAGTAATTACGTGATTGACAACACAGTTGATATTTATTCAGATTGCATTAATTACATTTTTTCCATATACAGCCTCTATTTTACAAACTTTTTTTTTTGTTACTACGTAAGGTTCATGATCAGCAGAAAGTCTAAGTCAAAAATAAATCTGAAAACCTGTCTATCAAACTAACAGGTATTGTACATGACTTTCAGAAAGAACTAGAGGAGTTTGGGGCAGCTATTGCAGATGAGGTGACAATTTTGCACACTTGGTCTTTGCATGAAAAAATGCATGATGTTTAGTTCCTGTAAAGATTCTTATGTAGAGATTTAAGTTAAACCCGATATGCTTGTTGACTTCCCTGGCAATTGTACTCATGTTTTTTTTGGAGGGGGGATGGGGTGGGGGACTTACATTTGTTTTTTTCTGAGACGTAGCCTTTGCATGATAACTTCAATACATGTATCAATGTTTGGTTTTGTTACGATTGTGTTTCCACTTAGCATGTTGCATTGATGCAAAGATTTAGATGAAAGATACAAAAAATTAGTTACATATGTGTCATCTAAAAAGAAAAATTACCATGTTGGAATAATGGAGTTTTGAAACAGATATTAAAAAAAATAATTTACAGGTGTTGATAATTTTTTTGAATTATGATTTTTTTGGGGGGATGGGGGATGAAGTTTGGGTAGTGATGAATCTTTAAGGCTTGTCTTATTAATATTACATTCTTTCTTTCATGATTTGATTTTTGTTTGTTGAAATTGCTTTCATTTATTTGGTTATTTCTATATTTTATATATTTTGTAGTCATTTAACTTTTTTTTTGCATTTAGATATTAACTTATTATTCATTTTAATTAATGTGAAGTTTACATGACAATAAATAATTTAATCCACTGCAACCATATTCTCAACATCTTTGATGTAATAATGGTAAATCAATAACGACCTTGATAAGTTATGACTTCTCTATATATGACATTTGCATGCCATACAAAATCAATTACTGTTCATTTGCCCTTGGATGTGGATTAATGATGTGTGATGCGATAAATTTCATTTATTCAAAGAAGATGCTGAGTCACAATGTATAATACTATCTTTACATTTCACAGCAACAAGAGAAAAGTCGGAGGGAAAAAGAAGAGAAAGAACGTGAAGAAATGGAAAGGAGATTAAATCAGGAGCGAGAAGAAAAAGAACGCAGAGAGTGGGAGAGACGAGATCGAGAAAGAAGAGAGCGGGAAGAAAGAGAGCGACAGGAGGAAGAGAGGCGGAAAAACGAAGAGGCGGACTGGAAATTAACGCTGGAAAAAGAGAGGCTCAAACACGAGCAGGAACAGAGAGATAACGAAGCGAGGCGGCGAGAGGATCAGCAGCGGCGTGAGCGGCAGGAACAGGAACGCAGGGACCGTGAAAGACAGGAGCAGGAGCGCAGGGCCAGGGAGGAGCGAGAGAGAGAAGAGATGGATGAAAAACTACAGGCAGAACGGAAGAAAAAGGACGATCTGTTAGCAAAGTTAAAGGATATTGATGAAGGAAAGAATAAGAGCAAGGGCCCCGAGAAGAAGGAGGTGGATACATTCTTTGTTACGTCAGGAAACGTGGATGTTGGGGATAAGAAAACAGACAAAAATAAGAAAAAGGAGAAGGAACCCGACAATTTCTTGTTTTCTGCAAGTCGGAAGGACAGTGATGGGGGCCTAGGATCAGCCTCCAGTAAAAGTAGCTACACGTTTTCTAAACCAATTGAAAATATGCATTCAGGCAAACCGGCAAGAGATGATGTGACTGTTCCATATATTGAAAAGAAGAAACAACAGAAGGCTCAGGAAGATGTGGATGAATTTGGTGGATACATGCCGTCATTCTCCAGCAACAAAACAACATCGAAAACGACAAAGAAAAGTGGAGGAATTGTGTTCAATGACGACTTTTTGTCATCGAAACCTCCACCAAAAAAGACAAATAAAAAGAGTGATTTAATGTCAGATCTATTCGGCAAGCAAACAAAAACTACTAGTCAAAATATAGATGACGATGATATCTTTAAGCCATCCACAACTAAGAAAACAACCACCGTGAATTCATCTAATAAGAGTTCTTTCCCTTGGGATGACGATGATTCAAAAACTACAGCAAAGAAACCTGCCACAAAGCGTGAGAATTCCACCAGCGCGTTATTCGGAGGTGGAAGTGCTCTCATTGATGATGACTTTTCTACAAAAGACTCCTCTAAAATGTTACCAAGGCGCCCGCGGCAGACAACCACCACATTCCAGGCCAGGCCCGCGGTGACTGCGGTAGATCATTATGATGACGATATTGAGGAGGTTATTCTGTAATGGTTTTGTAATTTATGAAAAATGTTCTGTAGTTTAATATTTAAGGAAGAGATATTTTTCTAATTTAATACTGTATGTATGGAAAACTGTGTATAGGATCTTATTTTTTCTATAACTGCACATTTATGAAATTTGAATAACTGTCTTGCATTTTGTTTTCGTTCATTTTTCGTCAAGTGTAATTGCAAGGCAGGTCTCTTTGATTCGTTTCACTTTGTTTTATTCAAAAAAATGTTGAATGAAGCATATTACCGCTATATACTCTGTGTTACAAATTTCTATTATTAATCTTTTTCTTGAGAAAAAAATAAGGTAAAACATAACTTATCAGATTTCACCTGTTGATATGTAATGAGAGAAAGTTTTGTGCCATTCTGTCATACTTACAATCTTTGTATGTGTTTGAGTCAGTCCATACAAATGTTTAGATAGGAAGATAGATTTATACTGGTGCCAGGTTTTCTAGCTGTGTTGTGATGTTACAGGGTCTGTAGTGCAGATGTACTTATTTGTAGATTATATACTCATCTCTATATTCTGTCAGGAAAGCCCCCTCCCCCCCTTCAAAGTGATCTATGGAACACCCCCAAGACACAGGTCCCCTTATACAACAATCAATCACGTCATTCTTGGTTGTGAGTTCTAATGTGAATATTTTTCTGTATGATTTCTTATTGTGCTATATTTATTAGTGTTGGTGCATGTGAGACATGAAAATTTATATTTCACAGTTCATCACAAAATTAGTTAGTAGAAAAAAATAAAATTCAGATTTATATATCAGCTTTAAGTATATCAGACTCATCTTTATAAAGAACAATATTTCATAGTCCTGTTACATATTCCGCATATCCTTTATAATTCATTTATATGTTTCTCCTTTTGCTTCAGTCCAGTATCTGTGATATTGCGGTCAGTCCGTCCAATCTGTATTTAGTGATAGAGTAGCCAAATAGACCACATTGTACTTTCTTTTACAGCCAAATGTTTTTACAGTTTGTATGTATTATTTATTGTTCAAATTTTTAATTTCAATTTGAGTACTATATTTTTATTTTATTGAAATTTCTGCTTAATATCTAACTTTGAACAATCATTTTTTTTTTTATTTATAATCATATATAATTCAAAAGAAACAAGAAATGAAAAACTTGAATTTCAGTGGATCTGAAAATCAGCCAATCACCATTGCGCGCAGTATGTTTATATATATATACATTTGTATATATGTACTACTGGTTCCTACAGAGGGTTTGTTCCCGTTTTGCACACATTTTAATTACAGGTAATTAAAAAATGTGTGAAAAACGGGAATTTGACCAGGTGATATAATTACTTAGTTGCTATAGTCTATACCATACTAAGCTTAGTAAGTATGTGAAAGGTAAACTTATAGTGAAAAAATAAGAGAATAAACACAAAGTTAATGTATTTGATTATCTGATGATCTTAACATCTTCTTGGCTTGGGCATTATTTTCAAATTACTTCTTATTCACTATTTTCTTTATTATATGTTATATCTTTAATTCATTTAGAATTTTATCAAGATTGAAAAGTATATATTCTTTCTTTAAGAAATTGGACTTAACAATAAATAATATTAAAGAAAAATCCAATATTTTCCCAAAAATACATATATAGAATTTTAATAAAATGCTTATAAAATTGTATTAAACCTCTTAAGAATGCATTAAGCTAAATCAGGTATTCACAGGTAAATCCAAACCAGAAATCAGACTATAATTGCTATCAAAACACACTTCACACCTATTGTTCTATACTAATTACCAAATGTGTGCAAAACGGGAACACACCCTACAGAGCAGTGTACAGACAAACTGCTCCTTTATGTCATGTGTTTGTTATTTATGTGACAGAGTTTCTCTGTTTGTATATGACTGTATAATCTTTAACAATCCAAAGATCCTATAAATAAAGATATATTAATTATAGACATCTATCATCTTTTTATATCAATTTGAAAATGTTGTTCTGGCATAGATGTTCAGGGTAACTTCCAGCATTTTATTCCAAAGAAAATCAGCTCAGCAAAGATACCCTATATTTGACATCCTAACGTTTTTGAACTAGAGATCTTCCTAGATTTTAAGATGCTGGAGGTTTAAGATCGAAACATATATATACAGCACACAAATTAAAAGACATTATATTATCTAACCAGGTGACTTTTAAGAATTTGTATGATCTGTTCTGCAGTCTAGACTGGGTAACACTAAGAAGTGACACTGAGAGGTTATAGTTTCTGTAATACAGCCTAGACTAGGTTACACTACAAGTTGTAGGGTCGGTGATACAGCCTAGATCAGGCTACTCTAAAAAGTTGTAGATTCTGTATTACAGCTTAGTCCATATTACACAAAGAAGTTGTAGATTCTGTATTACAGCTTAGTCCATATTACACAAAGAAGTTGTAGATTCTGTATTACAGCTTAGTCCATATTACACAAAGAAGTTGTAGATTCTGTATTACAGCTTAGTCCATATTACACAAAGAAGTTGTAGATTTTGAACTAATAAAGCCTAGACCATATCACACAGATATTATTGGTACTGTAATTTAGCCTAGATCAGACCCCAAGACCATAAAATGTGAACAGACTTGTCAGAGTCAAAATTTCACATCAGTATAATTTTTGAAAAACCAAAACAAACCATAAGTTTTAATTTTTTTCACATATTTTAAATGGAACTCAATGTATTCAAAATCAAAATTTGACTTGGTTTGATCTCAATTTATGGTCTTGGGACCAAGTTGCAGGCCATGGGTTGAATAGTTTATAGACTCTACACTTTTACCAAAGATGGACTTTTAAAAAGCAGTTACTAATAATGAGTAGTACAAAACCATCAATTCAAAATTAGTTGTCAATTTTCAGAGATATTACCAGTTAATATAACCATATCTTTCTTTGCATGAGCAACATTAGATATTATTCCCTCTTCTACAGATATTTTAAATTTGCTCATTCACATATCATGAAATTAAATGATAAACAAATATTCTCTCAATATATTTTTTTATTTGAGTTAAAAATCTCCAACAATATACTGAAGTGTCCATACAAAAGCAAAACTTGCAAGCCAATGTTAATTGAGAGAAACATAAGGCAGTTTGCCAGGCAAGGTAAATTTTATTCAACAGCATATTTTATTTTTCAGAAATTTGTTGAAAATCGTTATAGGAAGGACAAAAAATAATTAAACGTACATTAAAGATTTTCAAGGGAAAAATATTTATAAACTTGTATTCTTATGATTAAAGGAAATAATTTATGGAGGCAATCAGTAGCCATAACTCTTCAACTTTGATTGTCCATCCAGTTCACCGTAGACACAATGTAATATCAAATCCAACATTAAATACTGTACTCTGGCAGTGTGTTAGTACCCTCCATGACTAGGTTCAGTCTATATAAGATCAGTCTAGCGGGATGTCATGAGGTTGTCTCTCAGTGGTAGGAATCTGTTGTTTTTCTTCCTCTGATTTTCTTAGAGACCACAGGCTGGTGAATTTGTTTACAGCAGTACTACACGCTATGATCCAACAGGTCACTCCTAACCCACCTACAACAACCAAATGTCTAGTTCAAAGTTTTAAATAAAATTGACGAGAAATCAACATCATTTACTCATGAATAATGCTGTCATTGCTAGAGTCTGTCATATGTAGCACAGATAACTATATGGCATTTGTTATTAAATTTCATAATAAATCATTTTCTTTTACTTACCAGGAATCCCTGTTGGAAAAGATACAATTTTATGAAATGGGTAAAACCAGTTCTCTGGGAACATCAGCAATGGCTCGCTTCTGTTTGTTATAATAATCACCAACATTGTTAACGCCTAAAAAGAAGTATGATATTGTCAATGGAGGAATGAAATTCAATCTCCACAAAAGTAGCAATGAAAACTATTCAATGAAGTCTTCTAATTAAGTACAGTGTTTTAATTATGGGGTAATATGATGTTTCTTTTTTTGAATTTTCAGTTTTATTGCATATAACAGGCATGATCAAATAACTTCTATCATTTAATACAGGATTTACCCCTAAAATGTCTTTAGAAACAGTAATTTCTCTTAAACTTTTGCATTTCAAAGGTTAACCATATCAATATTAAAAAAGGTTTACCTGAACAACATATATTCCTACTTTTACTCCTATATTAATGACAGCTATTTTGTTATTACGTGCTGTAGCTGTGAAGAGAAAATTAAAAGTGGTTAAAACTATCTATCATAAATTGCTCTATCTACTGTATAGGTTGTTAAATAATTTTGAGAAATACCTACCTAATCGTTTAATTTCTGCTGTGTGCTTATCTATTTTACGCTGTATCTTGGCATACTTGGCAAATTCCTCAGTCATACTTATTGTATCTTGTTCTAACTTAAGATCTTTGATTTCTGAGCGTATAATCATTTCACCATCTGTAACTTTGTAGACAATTTTACTTATCTGAAATGCATAAGCAAAAATTATAATCCAATAAAACTCTTAAAATATTCACATAAAATCAGATATGATTACATGGTGTATGAAGTTTTAAATTATAAACTATAATAGCTGCTGATGACTGTCAACATTAACTTTAAAACCACTCGTTAATTAACCTTCATATGAAAAACATGAAATTTAATTTACAATGACCAAGGACGCAAAATATGCACAGTGATGCTAGTCATCATAATCCAAAATTAAATAATTAAAATCAAAACATCATTTACTAACAAGATTCAGTTTTAGGAGGATGTCTACTCTTAACCAGAGTCTTGATTACAAGATGACTTCTGCCTTTCGGTAACAAGTTGATATATTGGGTGTGATTTGACTTGGTTACGAATACAGGTTTCAAGTTTACCAAAATCCTTATTGAGAAAAATCTTTTTTTCTGTAAAATGTCAAATTCTGAGGGTAGGTCTACCACCTTTCTGGCTAACACTCTTCTGCGTACAATGTATGCCACTAACTTATAATCATTAATTAGGTAAATTACAGTCAAATCTTGTTATCATGAATTTGATGGAACTGCATGAGTAAAACTTTGGGATTTTCAGAGGTTCAGGATATTGAGGTAAATACATGTATATATAAGGAAAAAGTGATCGTGTGTTAAGATTCAAGTACGTAGCATACATTTTGAGCTTAATGCCCTTGATCTGTTGATATTTGTTCCGATTCACAAAGAGTTGATTATTCTTGATGCTACAAATTACAAAATACAAATGGTGAGAAACAAGAAATACACATCGTTAAATACTTACTAAAACTGATATTTTGTGGGAATATTTAGGTAAAAATTGAAACAGTATTACAGCAATAAATATAAATATCATAAGATACATTTTTACACTCAATGAAAGAGAAAATATTCAATGTTGATAATTACTTTGAAAACCGAATGTAATTTGCGTATGATTAAGCGCAATGAAGACTGTGAGGAGAACTCTTTTGTAATGGAGATATTTTTCTGTCACTTTCCCGCAAAATATTGAAATGGAAACAGGTTCATCTGTTTCAAAGGTAAGTTTTCACATTTATGAATATTTTTCTCCCATAAATAAATAATTTTTACGTGAATCAAAACCTTTACCTTTTGTTACCTTTTGAAAAAAATACTTACTTTGATAAAAATATGCGGAAATGTCTTTTTTACAAATACAAATACAAATACTTTATTGGCACAAACACAATTACAATAATTGGCAAATACATGCCTTTGCTTCTTTAATCAGGTTGGGCACACACCCCCAAATGGTCATTTAACATATTTTATTTTATCTTAACCAATTAAATATGACGATCTTTTCCGAACTTGGGTCAAAAGACTGATTTAACTACGGAGGCGCACTAGTGTTAATTTTCAAAAAGTAAAATATCAGGAAGGGTAAGAATTCGCTTTTATTTCGTTTATTTTGTATGCAATGGCTTTATTTATTTATTTTATTTTTTTTTTACAAAAATACGATATGCAGTGAATTCATGATAAAATAACGCTCGAAAACTATAATCTTGGAATGAATTATTTAATCTAACACACATTATATATCAGGGACCTATATAGTAATCAGGTCCGGCACAATCTCTTGATTAAGCTATATAGCTTTAAAAAGCTATATAGCTTTATTAAGGTATTCAAAATAGCTTGACAAAGCTATTTATATGCAGTTTTTCACAAAAACGTTTTTTGACAGAAATAAACAAAAAGTCGCAAGTATTTGACTATTCATGTATGTACTATGGACTATCAAAAATACAACCTAAATCATAGAAAGTTCTTACATTGCTGCTGTTGAATACTTTAAGCAAAATATGAATTTCCATTGTTTGAGTAGCTGTGTGTGCGGTGAGGCGTGGGTAAGTATGATTGCTTCTTATTGTGCTGAACTGTTACTAATCAATTATCCTGTTGGCCATAACTGGCCTCCTTTATAATTTCATTCAAGAAATAACTGTGTAGTCACTCATCAATAGCCCCAAAACTGTTAAAACTTTGAGTACAAAGTCTCTCAAGGAGACGCAATTTGGTGAGTGTTTTTTACATGCATTGTATTTAGAAGAGAACAAAGTTTAATATTTCCACTGCACCTAGGTGCGACTTTTTGCACATGTTGAAAAAATAACGCATTTGAGAAAAAAGTCTGAGAAAATAGCTTAATCAAGCTATTCTGAATAGCTTAATAAAGCTATATAGCTAAATCAAGCTATATAGCTTAATCAAGAGATTGTGCCGGACCTGGTAATAGTATATAGGTCCCAGTTATTAAAATATTAAGGGAATTACCTTGGTCTTATTAATGTTATATTTGATAGTTTGAAAAAGTGGTTAAAGCCATATATGGCGTATGTACAATGAAAATTATTGGACTAAAATTATAAGAACTTATTATTTGTATCATTACTTTATATAAAGATAGAACTTTTCCGTAAATTACAAAATCTAAATCTATTGCGTTATAAAGATATCACAATTTAATTTGGATTCTCGGAATTTTCTCCGACTTGGAAGAAAATACAAAAGATTTAAATAACACATTTCAGAGAAGATAAAATCGTATTATTAGATGAAACGAGTTCTCCGTGTTCAGAATTGTATGAAAAGCTTTAATTTAAATGAATCAACTATATTTCTTTACTTAATTTTGTATTTTTCAAAAATGTATTTTTTTTATCAGTTACGCCATATATGGCTTTAAAATAATTCCTAGTTTGAAAGAACAAGGATCGAGGAATGGAACCATGGGTTAATTGACAATTGTGTAGATAAATAAACAAGACACTGACAAGGTTATGAAATATTAAAACCGATGAAACTGAAACATTTAATTACTTACACTGGAAAAACATGCTAATTTCGTAAATTTCAGGAAAGCCACACTTTGATGCAGTAATATTTAATATCCAAAAATGTTTCCTTAAGATTCTTTGCAAATGAGAGTATTGTTCATTTTCTCATGAGCTACAATGGATGAGCATGAATATCTATACTGTGACGTGTCAGTGACTGACACCATATACATGTAATACCATTTTATATGTTAAAATTACAGGTGACTCTCATTGGCTCGAACTCCGATCTCTTGAAGTTCTCAATCTCTCGAAGTGAACCTCTGGTCCCGTTTTCTTTTTTCTTTATATAACTAAGCAAATTTACTCCTGATCTCTCGAACTTCTATCTCTCCCAAGTTCTCAATCTTGAGAACTAAGACCTGAGCCCTGTTACACACATTTCATTGTTTTTCACCCTAGAGCTATCTCTCAAAGTTCAGATTGCGCGTGCATACATGCCAATCAAGCCTAAAATTAATGCAGCTTGAACTTACCTAGATAACAGTGAATGCCTGGGGCTGGCATGGAGGTGTTTATTGGGTGTTTACATAGGTGGTGGCTGCATTTCATTTCCAGAATTTTTGGTAATTATCAACTTTTCATTTCCGAACATTTTTTAGTTTTCATTTCCAACATTTTTATGCCCCCCTTCGAAGAAGGGAGGGCATATTGCTTTGCTGCTGTCCGTCGGTCTGTCGGTCGGTCGGTCTGTCGGTCCATTTAGTTTCTGTTCATTTTCTTTACAACCGCTGCATATACTGAAATGAAATTTGGTATACAGGTTTATCAGGTAAATATCTAGGTCAAGTTCTGTTTTGGGTACGATCACACCATTTTTGACAGAGTTATGCCCCTTGGACTTAGAAAAATTCCATTTATTTGCAGTTTCCGTTCATTTTCTTTGCAGAGGTTGCACATATTGAAATGAAATTTAGTATACAGATGTTTCAGCTGAATATCTAGGTCGAGTTCTGTTTTGGGTTTGATCGCACCTTTTTTGATAGAGTTATGCCCCTTGGACTTAGAAAAATTCCACTTATTTGCCGTTTCCATTCATTTTCTTTGCAGAGGTTGCACATATTCAAATGAAATTTAGTATACGGATGTTTCAGCTGAATATCTAGGACAAGTTCTGTTTTGGGTTCGATTACAACCTTTTTGTCAGAGTTATGCCCCTTTGACTTAGAAAAATTCCAATTATTTGCAGTTTCCGTTCATTTTCTTTGCAGAGGTTGCACATAATGAAATAAAATTTAGTATACAGATTTTTCAGCTGAATATCTATAAAGTCAAGTTTTGTTTTGGGTACGATTGCACCATTTTAGACAGAGTTATGCACTTTTGGACTTAGGAAAAATCCAATTTAGGGGGAGGGGGGCATAAGTGTTTTACAAACATCTCTTGTTTGTTTTCAATTCCTACATTTTTCAAATACATATGTAGTACGTATAGTAACAGATTAGGTAACTTTTCTTATGAAAAATTTAAAGGAATAAATCATAAATAAATCATTGAAATCTAATTTTGTAAATCTATCAGTGACTTGGACATAAGTATGGCACTGTCACTGACATTTAATTAAGTGCACATTAAATGTGGTGGAAAAGTTTTATGCATTACCTAGACTAAGTGCTATATGAATGCATATATGTATAGATATTTTTTTAAAATTTTATTTATTAATATTTTGGTATAAATACTTTTAAAACTCCATTTTCTTTTACTTAGAGAACATTAAATTGCCGCACAGGAAAAGTCTGGAAATGAAAAAAAAATTATGTCGAAAATGAAAACAAAAAATGTCGGAAATGAAATTAAAAAAAATGTCGGAAATGCTATGCATATTTCCGGAAATGAAATGCATTGAGATGGCACTACACCTGTGGGTTGTCCATGTGTAGATATAATTAATTGGTTATAATTAAAAGTTTGTAAATTGTAAACGAATCGCTTCACAACTTATTTTGACATGAAACCAGGACGATAATTTTTAGAAAATAATTTGAAAACGTACATTTCATTAAGTTCCCATAGACAGTGAACTTTTAATACAGTGTACATAATCCCATTATGTCAAACATTGCACAGGAAATTTTTTCTCAAGGATTGAATACTGATTGCGAGAAATCTGGTGAAATTTGGGGATAGCCAAACAGACAATTGCTATTTACATGATTTAGGTTTCATGTAATCATAAAATAAGTTAATAAGAACAAATAAACATTGAACCTTTAGGAAGTCAATTTATTTATACAAAATAAGATCATTGTTGTTTATTTCAAGTAAATTAATTACCTGTAAAATACGATTGAAAACGTGCAATGACTTTATTAACATATACTTCCGGTATCTATAATAGTAGATCATTGATGATCAGAACTGAAAATTCCTGATTTTATTTACTTCCTATCTCTTGAAACCCTCGATCTCTCGAACTTTTCTTGCGGTACGTCCCTTGAACTTTGAGAGATTGAGAGTCACCTGCATAGTGCAAACTGTTTTGCTTTAAAAATGACAGTTGAATTGTGGCACCTAATCAGAAAAATAATGTAAATATAAGAAATGAGTATAATTTTCGAAAATTCATGAGATAGATAAACTACGACGCTTCATGCTGGCATATTTATCATGAAGTGTTAAATCTGCCAGCATGAAGCATTGTAGTTCATGTCCGCATGAATCTTCAACTTAAATGTTTTCCTTTATATAACACTTTTAAAAGCAATGGGTAACTATATCTGTATGAATACAGGTTCCTCACGTCATAAATGTATATAAATTTCTCAGTGACGTCATAAAGGGTCGACAGCATTATGGAATTTGATCTCATGACCAACCTGTATTTATATCCGATAGATGTTTTAAAATGATACTTATTTCATAAATAATTAAAATTTTCAACTTTAAACTGATCTGAATACAATTTATGAAAAATTCATTCTTTAAAGAGCTGTCTCTTTTAGTAATTATGTTCATATGCAGTGCAATTGCAGTCAAAGTTTTAAAAATTTTTGGGCTATACAGTGCATAATTTTGTAGACACCATCTTGGTAGTTGCATCATGCACTCCCAAAAAATGATTTTCATAGTACAGTTCCACTTAAGATAAAATTTTCTATAAATAAGTCCAAATTTAATTTTGAAGACTGCAATATTTCTGGTGTTTTAGCAATATAGTTAATAAAACCATTGCT